AAATAAAAGTAGTACTTCAAGAAAATTTTACCACAAACAATGCCAGTGAAACATGAAATGCCTGTTGGGTGCAGTGCCGGCACAGTTTATGCCGAGAGCAAGATCGTTATCATAGAAACAAGATGAGTTACTAAAAGTCGGGCTACCAAAGCACAGCTTCTGATTCATGTAAAGTAAACACTGAGCCAAGAGCTTCAGAAAGCAGCAACAGTGTCTAAAGCGAAATTGCAAACTACAGCGCCCTGACTGAAATAGATGCGTAGACCTTCCTGCAGAACAGACTAAGCTCTTGTCAACAATATTTTGTTTCAGATATCTTCATTTTTCTTATTAATGTGCATTTATTTATCTTCATTTTTTTTGTAAAGTTTGTGTTAAAATTTTAAAGTGCCAAAAAGTTGATGAGATACTGGCAGCATAAATATCCCACCGATGCAGATGACGTCATTGTGATCTAGCAGAAAGAAAGCCTTAGGACAAAGCTCTGCCATCTGGCCAGAGGAACTTACAGGCCACAGCCCTTCTCCACTGTAGCTGTCAATCAGAGGCTGTCTTTCAAACAGGCTGAATAAGTGTGCAGCAGATAGCTTGGCTTTTGCATAGTCTGGAGCAAAGGAGCTGGCGTGTCCTAGGGCCACTGCGCCAAACACAATTGCTGAAAACACCCTGGATGGAAGGGGAGGTGTCAGAATTAGCTCCGTGGCATTCAAAGGCCAAAGACAAACTTTTAACGAATATTTGCGTGTCTGTCCTTCAACTGTCGTGTCCCAAAGCCCACACACATTTCTGTGAGATTCCAGTAGCAACGACAAAGTCTAGAAGGGAGGCAAGACCCACTGTCTCGGGCTGTTTTGTCTGTTCGCCTTCCAGCAGCAGGGCTCTGGCTCTGAGCTAATGCGACCTTCCAGAGGTTTTCACTTTCCTGAAGTGGCTCATGACTGAATCTTATCTGTCATCTCAGCTCATTTTAGTTGCCGGCTGTGCCCTTTTTAAGACTGAAGGAGGCTGAAACCCCCAGGACCAAGGGGCTCAAAGAGTGGCAGATTGAATGACGAGACTACTGCCTTCCAGTTTGAGGTTTGGACAATCCTGCATCACGGGTGACAAGAGTCACCAAAGCAAACAAGTTTTTAGACATACATTTACAGACTATTTCATCTAATAGAGTATACATTCTAAGGAGTTTGCAGAGCTCGCTCTAAAATATACCAGTCTATATTAGAAATAATTAAGATCTCATATCTTTTCTGGTCACAAAGGAGCTAAAGGAGATGCCAACAATGGAAGACATTTTAGGGTATTTATAAATGCCTGGAGACGGAACAAAGGCTTGTAAATGAACAGTAGGCTACTAACAGAGTCAGAAAGGATAAAAACAAGCCCCCCAAACAGAGGCAAGTGTAGGCACAGCCTACTACAACTTGAGGGTTGCAGAAAACTAACACTGGGAAGAAACTGTCAGTGCCAACGTCAAAAGAGGAAAGGTTTCAAATAGACAACCTAAAAATGCATCCCAGGGCTTAGAGAAGCAAGAATAAGGACCTAGGGCATGGCTCAGTGGGAAAAAACTCGAATTCCCCACAAGCCTGAAAAAGGGGACAGACTTCCAAAGACTATCTTCTGACCTTCACACATGTGCTGAGCCAAATACATCTTCACCTTCTGTTTCTCCTCTTTCTCTCCTCTCCCCCTCCTTTTCTCTCTCTCTCATACACACACACACACACACACACACACACACACTACACAATACTAGTAAAGTAAATAAGAAAGAAAAGCATGCACAAAACAAAGCAAACATTAGAAGATCAGAAAACAATAAACAGGAAACAAAATCAGTACAAATGATAAACACAACGAGTTGGTCCTTCAAGAAAATATGAAAAACTCTTGAACTAGATTAGACAGAAGAAAAAAACAGAAGGCCCACATAAGTAAAACGAGAGACAAGAAACTACAAACCTATCTCACTTTCAATAGTTACAAAAATAAGTAAATGAATAGCTCTGGAATAGACTTGACCAAGAATGGAAATCCACTGTAACAAAAATGCTGATTTTGGAAATTGAAAAAAAAAAAAACAAGAAAAGGAAAATTCTTGTATGTTGTTTAAGGATTATATCACCCAAAGCAATCTATAGATTTATTGCAGTCAGTAGCCGCCAAAATACTAATGACATTATTCACAGAACTATAAAAAGTCTTTAAAATCATATAGAACTATGCACATAAAAATAGAATACAACTGAGCAAAAGGAATAAAGCTAGAGACAGCACCATACTTGGTTTTGGTACAAACTTCAGAGCCACAGCAACCAGGTCAGCATTGTGTTGACATAAAGACAGACTCGTAAACCAAGAGATACAACAGACACCCTAGAAATAAACCTATGCATCTTTATCAAGTGGTTTCTCAACAAAAGCATCCAAACAGATGCCAGACAAAGGGCAACCCCTATAATAAACAAAGACGCAGGCAACCCTGGGTGACCACATATAGAAGACAGACACTTGATAGCTGCCTCTCGCCTACTTAGGGGAAAGAGCCGGTTTGCTGGACTTTTGTCTGAGATCCCCATTGCATGGTCAAGGCCATGTGTTGGTTACAGAAAAGTAGCAAGCTACTTAACCTAACTCTGTTTTGAGCCTATGAGCTTCAACGACTTTCTAGTTACACTAGTCACACTCATACAACTTCCTCTGTTACATTCCATCCCAAAGTGGCTCACATACACAACCCGCCTCGTGCTTTGCAATCAACTTCACAAGGCTTCGTGAATTTTCGAGCACTCATATGATGAAAGTCTGCTGGGTGTAGTGACAAGATCAGATTTCTGTGCCTGCCAGGGTGACAGCTATAGGAGGCTAACTCCTTGATCTCATCTCCGGAGAGTTGTTTTTCCCGAGCCACACCTGTGCATACGCCTAGTGGCAGATGCCCTACGACGGGGCCGGAGAAGTCACCTTGCTCTTTTCAAGCTACTCACAGAATGACATCCTTGAAACGCATGTGCCCGTTCACAATGAGGTAAGCGCCAAACCGGAAACAGGCAGCGTAAGAAAAATACATAAATGCTTGTGAGATGCTGAACGTGATGCCATAGATGTGTGCCTTCCGCACTGAATTCCTGAAAAGCAAATGCATTTGTTCACAATTGATACTCGTAGCCGTTATCCTGCTTCTCTTACCCTCTGTCTAGCTAAAAGCACAGCTTAGCCTGTCCAGTCTGGGCTAAATGCCTGTTTTCTAGGGTATTCGGTTAAGTAGGTAAACGAAAGTATTTCTGACTTACACAATGAATCGTCTGTGGTTTTGAGAACTAAATGCACTAAACGACATGACTACCTACCATAGTGTCTAGCACATGGTGGTTTTTACATTATAGCTGCTATGGTACATTGGTTAATAATTCAGATATTAAACTGTATTATGTAATAATTATGTCAAAAGTACCACAGATACCAATGTTATAAATAGCATTGTGATCATCTGTATATAATTTGTTTACATATTCTTTTTTTTTTTTCGAGACAGGGTTTCTCTGTAGCTTTGAAGATTCTCCTGAAATTCCCTCTGTAGACCAGGCTGGCCTTGAACACACAGAGATCCACCTGCCTCTGCCTCCCGAGTGCTAGGATTAAAGGTGTGCAGCACCATCGCCCAGCTTGTTGATATATTCTTATCATGGGTTCTGTACACACAACAAGCTGTAGTCACATGTCAAACTTATTTCAGTTTCACAAAAGGTGGATAATTGACATTTGTATAGCTATACATCCCAAACTCTCCAAGCTAGATCCTGCCAGCCCCATAAATAAGTTATTCTATACTGTTTCTAATTAGAATTGTTGCTACACTTTGTAAGATTTCTGAATCCAGCCCCAGTAATTTCTTACTCTTAAACCAGGAATTATTTGGTCAAGGAGATTCATTGTATTGTTGATTTGGGAGGCGTTGCTTGTGTACTGTGACCATGGTGTTATGTTTATTTGGGCATTAACTTGAATACTGTAATTACAATGTTACACTTAACATTATGGCCACATAATTAAGTTTTGATCAAATTAATAATTTTTTTCAGCTTTTTATTCTTTGAAGTTAAAACTACACCATAAGATAATGGGGTAATGGTGCACATACACATTAAATATCAAAGAGAAATGGTAGCTGTGTATTCTTTAGCATCATGGAAGTACACACAATGGACGAACCGGAACATGTTGAGGATCCTTGCTCAGATATTCAAGTGTTCAAAACTACTGATTCCTTAAGGCAGGTATGGTGGTACATGCTTTCCAACATGTGGTAAGCTGGGCAGAAGGATCACGAGCTCAAGGTTAGCCTAGATTGTATAACAAATTGTAGGTTAGCCTAGGCTACATAGTAAAATCCTGTAAGAAAGAAAGAGAGGAAAGAAGGGAAGATGGGTGGAAGGAAGGAAGGGAGGGAGGGAGGGAGAAAGGGAGGGAAGATGGGAGGAAGGGAGGGAGAAAGGGAGAGAGAGAAGGAGGGAAGAAGGGAAAGAAAGAGAAAAGAAAGGCTGTATCTACTGCTGTTCCAGTCTATACATCATGTTAATTTTGTCAGAGTGAAGGTGGTTTGTTTACAAAACCAGACAAGTAGAAAACAGAACACAGGGAGATTTCAAATGAGCCAACTCTAAACCATGAAAGGGGCTTCATGTCTTTTTCTTCAGAACAGCCTGGAACTGGTCCATATTTAGAAGACAAGGGAGACACTGTCCTCTGGAATAAAGCCAATAGAACTCATTCTTAAAGCAGCCTGTATACTCAAGAAAAGATAGGTTTGAACAACTTCCTCAGAGCATGCTCATCCTGAGCCACCCAGCTGAGCTACACCACAGTGACAAAGTTTTCTGTAGCCCCCGGTACCTCTTGGCCCTTAGAGGAGACCTAACCCTTACTATGTTCACGAGAGCAAAGAAAATTGAGTCGTGACATTTGATGAGATAATTATCAGAAGAGGTGATTACTGTTGAGTGCAGAGATTTCTAACGCTTTCAGGGGACAGCAGCCCAGTCTAGGAATGCAGTAGGGATGCAGCAATCAAGCTTATTACCTGTAAGGTCCATGCAATTTTTCAACATACATTGATTCAAATTTTCTTTCCTGGGTCAAGGATACAACAGTTCGAATGTTTTCTATGGCCTCTGTTGCGATCTGTAACAGAAAGACCTCAATTAGAAATTGTACTTTTATTTCTGAAATGAAAAATCTCTGTCAGATGTACTCTAAGGGTCAAGTCAATGATCTTAGATTTCTTCAAATAAAAGCAAAGGCAAAATACATTCTTTAAGTCCAGGTTTCTAACGAAATTAGCCTTGGGGTTGTGTACACCGGAGCAGCTAAGTCTCTGGATGCTCATGGAGGCATACGGCTGAGGGCCAGAATGAGTTCAATCACAGCCTTTAGTGACCTCGCTTTCTTCATAGGGTAGAGTCTAGAAGGCACAATTAAGCAATGGTTTCTAGGGGTCCACTGGAAATGATGGTCATTTTTACCTGGACACACCGCTTCTTAGACAAGCTGTTTACCCAAAAGCAGGAAGGAGACTCCTGCTTGAAACTTGAAATAATATGGCCCTGTTCTAAGCTGCTGTTTAAATGAAGAAAACAAGCCTGATCCTGGTTAATTAGACTCGGTTTCCTGGAGGTGGAGGCAAGTACCTGTTGTGAGGCCCTGTGGATTCAGAGGGGTAGTCATCACTTAGGGAACAGATCTGAATGTAGATGTTTGAGGAATGAAACAGATATGCAGGGACACTTATTAAGAACACAGCCTGTGGACCTTAGACACAGAGACAAAGAGAACAGTCTGTGGACCTAAGAGATAGAGACACAGAGAGAACACAGTCTGTTGACCTTAGACACAGAGACACAGAGAGAACACAGCCTGTGGACCTAAGAGACAGAGACACAGAGAGAACACAGTCTGTGGACCTAAGAGACAGAGACAGAGAGAGAATACAGTCTGTGGACCTAAGAGACAGAGACACAGAGAGAACACAGTCTGTGGATCTCAGATACAGAGACAGAGAGAACACAGTCTGTGGATCTCAGATACAGAGACAGAGAGAACACAGTCTGTGGACCTAAGAGACAGAGACTCAGACAGAACACAGTCTGTGGACGTCGGAAACAGAGACAAAGAGAACACAGCCTGTGGACCTAAGAGACAGAGACTCAGAGCAAACACAGCCTGTGGACCTACTGCCTGCACTTGACATATATCCTTTATGTCAATCCACTTTAACCCAAGCCATCCAAAAGGTTTGCGATTTTGTTTTTCAATTTTTGTAGCCTACCCTTTGGGCATTGTCTGTGATTAGCGAGTGAATCTGCATTTCTGTTCTACAGGCATGTTCCCTGGATATACCAGCAACATGAGGATCTTACATTTTCCAGTTTTGTTTCATCAGTTTTAACATCTGTATTTCAGCTTCCTATTGTTAAGCAAGGAAAGATATTTGTTACCTTGGGCTGAAAAGGTCTATCTCTTTAGATAATAAATAATCTAACCGATAATAGAAGCAGCCAAAACGTTGCAACGTGGAAGGACACGATCTCCTTTAGCCTCAGGACAACTCTGGGGCAGTGTTACTCCTGCTCTGACAGGTGACAGAGGTGCAGGGCCTGAAGCCTCAGAATTAACTCAGGGTGTGAGAACTGCAGGGCTCCTGATGCCAAGTCTGCTGTCAGCCAGCTGCGCTGTGCTGCTCTGTCTATTTTGAGATTTGCACAAGGGGAAACTGGTTGTAAACAAATTTCCCATCAACCCTTGATTTTCTGGGTTAACTTTGTGGTCTAGCTCTGATATTACAGGCTTCTGAGCTCGGAATATGGGATCTAGTCAAGACATCCACAATATGAATCCGTTATTCGGATTACAAAGGGCATGCTGGTGGAGCTGATCAGTAGGATGTACATATATATTAATATTATATTTACAGGATCGCATTACAAGTGTACATATGATTTGTGGCTATAATCTTACTTTACCTTCCTCCCCCAACTGCACAGCAACAAATATTCTAAGTTTTCCTTGGAAAACTGAAATGGGACTGATGATATATTTTACCCATTAATAAAAATGTATACTCCAGTAAATGAGCACTTTCTTTAGAACAGGAGATGGGAAGGAGATCATCTAGGCTCCCACTCCCTCCTTTGATCCCAGTCCCAGGATGGTACTGCACCAGGCTGCCTCTTTATGGAGAGCAGACTGGTCTTACACTGGCAGCAATTCTCCTTCATCCGCCTTCGAAGTACCATACCACACTGCACCGCACCACACCACACCAGAAACTCCATCTAACCCCAGTTCTGTCAGTGAATCAACAGTTAATGGAGAAAACAACATTGAACCGTGACTGAACTGTTGGAGAGTAAAACAGCTTTAGTGCCTCCCAGCGTTCATCTGGTCCCCAGGATGGCAGCTCCAGGAAGGTTACAGAGAAGCCTGAGCGGTACCATGCCCGGAGTCCCACTTCACCACCGGACCCAGAAGCTTTCCCCGGCATCATAAGGTCTGAACAGAAGGCCAAGACTAAGAACTGAAAGTCTAAGTCTGTCTCCAACATTATTCAACTCTACTGCCTTACTTCTGCCAAAATTTCGGCAATTTTCATTGTTATAAAAATATTAACTGCCGGGCGATGGTGGTGCACGCCTTTAATCCCAGCACTCGGGAGGCAGAGGCAGGCGGATCTCTGTGAGTTCGAGACCAGCCTGGTCTACAGAGCTAGTTCCAGGGTAGGCTCCAAAGCCACAGAGAAACCCTGTCTCGAAAAAGAAAAAAAAAAAAAATAACTCTCTGAATAGAGTCAAGATTACTATGTTGGGTAGATTCTAGATGTTTTTATTTGTGTAATTTGCCTAAGGAAATTTTATTTTCATTCTGATAACTTTCTCTTGAGGAATGAAGACGAACTCCAAGATCGGGGGCGTGGGCAAAGCAACTGTTATTGGCTTGTTTGTTTATTTAGTTAGTTGATTTGTTTGTTTTCAGAAGTCAGCTATGGCACACAGAGTGAAGAAAATGGTACCCTCCATTACCTAAGTCAGAACGTAAGAGTGTGTTCAACAACTGGGAACACGCAGGGACAAAGTCCAGGACCTACAACACACATGCTCCCAGGGGACTCTGGTTCCAGGGTAAGGTCATGTACAAACGACAAGAGTTCTGACTGAAGCTGGGGACCACTAACCCATGGAGTGGCAGGAGGAGGGGGTGGATCTCAGGGAGAGAACCTATCTAGTGGAAACACGCCCCACTACAGCCCCAGTCTCGGGGGTTTTGGCTGCTGTTGTTTGCTCTGTTTATTTTGTGATGTGTTCCAGCATGGCCTTGAACTAGTGGCGATTCTCTTGCCTCTAACTCTTGAGTGATGAGCGTACAAGCACAGGCCACCACAACTGGCTTTAATCTTACCATTTTACGCCAGCCACTTAGAGGCAGTCACTTAACTTCAAAGTCTGTCTCCATGTCAGGTGGAGACACTGACTCCCCCCACCACACACACACACACACACACACACACACACACACACTACACATAGTTGTAATGAAGATATTCAAAGTGATGCTTGTGAGTGATGCTGAGGTTTGTACTAACCACCTGCTTTACCCCCTAAGTTTTCACTACAGAATGATGTTTACATCCACGAGAACAGATGTGTCCTTGGACACAATCTGCACCTTACCATTTTGAATGTGCACGCATTACAAATCAAACGTTTATGTGTGGATTCAGACCCACTTAGATACCCTATAGAGACTGAGGTGGTGAGAGTCTGGCATGGACTTGCTTCCTGTCCACATCCCTACATTTGCAAACACGAAGGATCTGGCTCGGCAGGTTTGAGTTCTTGCTCTGAAAGCGCAAGGCCTCGGTTCAAATATGCAGCATTCACGGAAGAAGCCCGTCACCCCAGGGTGTGGGAGCAGAGCAGGCCAACCCCGGGGGTTCACTGGCCAGTTCCTCTAAGCACAGTGCTGGGACCATCTATCAGGGAATAGGTAGAGAGCAAAAATGACCACACTCAATGTGCTTCTATGGTCTTGCACACTTGGCACTCGTGTGTGCATGCATGTGCACACATACACTTGAGAGGTGGCATTATCATCTGCCTCACAGGACGACCGTGATGATAGTAAGAATAAGTTCCTATATGTAGTACGGTTGTCACACAATCTCTATTGCCACTACACATTAGAACCACAAAATAAGGAATTACTGCCACCTGGTGGCTGCTAAGTTTAACAATAAAAATAACAGTGGTGTTGGGGCGAGTGTAGGCAACAGGCTCTTTGTGACTCATCCAAGTCTATACTATGCCTTAAACTCTTTTTCCCCCTAGAAACAGAAGCAACTCTTATTGAAAACACCATGGTAAAAGACTAGTCAGGGCTACAGAGAATAATTAGACTCTGTAGCCCTGAGAAAAGCCTACAGGTTTCTTTTGATAGCCAAAGGTTACACAGGGCAGATTTTGAGATTTAAAGCATCACGGTGTCACAGTGGCTTGGGACTGCTGACAGCTGCTGAAGCAATCGGACCGAAGGTAAAGCTAAGCTCTTATCTATAAAATAGTGACTTTTGTTCTATCAGTGACTTCAGGATATACAGTTAAGATGAGGTGCATCTGGGCAAATTTGGAAGATCTTTATAGCAAGTTCTGCCTGGAAGCTGGAAGTTTTGCACGATCCATCCCATCTTTGAGTTTTAGGCATTACCGATTCGGTAAACACTTTGCACAGGTTGTATGGAAACAGTAAAGGTGCCAGTTCAAGCAAGGCATGTCCACAAGCAGCACGTGCTAGCTGGAACCCACTTAACTCACCTTTCCAGCGGCTTCCAGTTCTTTCTTATCTCTCTTGGCATTTCCAGCCAACATTTTCATTTCCACAACTCCCGAGACAGCAACGAACGGGACAACCGATAACAGCAAAAGTGTCAACTGCCACCCGTAGATAAATGATATGATAATTCCGGTTCCAAGGTTGGCTGTGTTCTGTGCAATTAAAGCCAACCTGGTTCCCGTGGCCTTTAAGAGAAGAAGAGTAAGGCAGCTGGGTGAAGTTCCAAACCATGGGTTCCTGCCTTCGGCTGCCTACTCAACGTGAAGGGTTTCATTACTCAGTAAACCCACGCTTGGGCCAACAGGCTTCACTCTCATCCCTTCAGCCCGTGAATCACCTACTGTATGGATAAACTGTGAGATCTCTCTCTCTCTCTCTCTCTCTCCCTCTCTCTCTCTCTCTCTCTCGCACACACACACACACACACACACACACACACACATCTTTTCAAAGGGGAACCTAAATCTCAGTAATATAAATAAAAATTTGGTTCAGTTAGCAGACAGAAATTTATACTCTTCTAGAAACCATAATACATGAGACCATTAACCATAAACCATACTGTGTTTGAATTAGTCATTTGCACAATTCAGAAAGCCAGGACCACTGTCATGGGCAATGCTGTCATCTCAGAAAGCCAGGACCACTGTCATGGGCAATGCTGTCATCTCCCTGGTTCACCCTTTCCCTTCTCTCTTACTGTGGAATGAGGGAACTTCACAGAGTAGGGAAGCTGGCCAGAGAACAATTTTCTTTTGAGACAGAAATTGCCTCAGGCTTGAGCGTAACTTATGAGCTGTAACTAGTTCTGGAAGGGGTTTTCATTTGAAAGATGAGGCACAGATGTATGTCCTTTCCTTAGATGGGAAACACAGAAGCTTCTAATTCTAATTGCTATTGGTTGCCAACCAAGAGATCAGCCTGATGAAGTCAATGCCGAGGAGGCGACTCACCAAACAGACAGAAGGAACCTGGGGTCTCTGACGCCAGCAGATCATGCCACCCTGAAGTCTAAACTTTCCCCTTGCTGTTCATGATAGTTTCAACGAAATGCTCTACTATTTCCAACTGAAAGTATCTTTTGAAAAATGTTTTTAGGGCCTTGTACACTGCGGGCAATCTGTCCACCAGTGAGCTATCCCACACCCTCACAACCCCACACCCCCGGCTGGAAGCATCTCAAGAGATGGAACAAACAGGTTCGCTTTATCAAGGAAAGGCCGGCAGAGCGCAGCCTACGTACTCCTTGGACTTGCGCAGCATCCGTGGCGAGTCTCGTAGAAAGGGCTCCGGTGCTGTTTCTGTAATCGTCAAACCAGCTCATGTCCTGTGGAATTAAACACGCCTTTAAATTAGCCCGCAGCTAAAACCAGCAGAAAAAACCATCTCTCCGGGCTCCAGTGAGAAGAAACAGCCACTCTGAGCACCCCACTGCATACGCTCTAGGCCACAGGTCCTGACTGCCTCCCATGATAGGAAGGGGTCTCTAGTCAGAGATAAGGAACAGATTCATCTGCCAGCTCCGCCCCAAAGCTGGACTCCTGCGGCTGTTCCAGCTGCTAAGTTGTCACAACTTGAGCTAAGGACAGCTCTGCCCTGTAGGGTAACTTCTTTCCCACTGAACAGATACTTTCAGCTGGAAATAGTAGAACTTAAAAATTGTAAACAGGGAAATTAAATGCTATACTTCTGCTTTATTTTGTCGAAACAAGGACTTTAAAAGTGTATCTTGTATTTGACACAATTTATAAATATTTATTGGCAGTATCTTTTTACTGTCATATAAGGTTATTTGCCCCAAACAGCAGGAGTTTGAAAAGTTCCCAAAAGAACTCATCACTTCAGATGTGCTCAAAATATAATGCCTGTTTGTGCCTGGTGTGGAAAGAGATGCGACCAATTTAAGTCAATTGGCTTCCTCTTTCTTTAAAGGAGAAACATGTGTCTTCATATTTCCCACACACCCTACCCCAGAACGAGAACTTACATAATAAGTCACATTTTAATGAATTAACAAGTGAAATCAGCGTGGAAACAGAGCTCAAGGCAAAACAATAGCTCAACTTCTAGCATTTAGGAAAGCCTCGGTAGAAGGCCAACTGTACCACATGAACGTGGGTGCTACCAACTACTTTCTCCTTTGTACAAAGACACCTTACAGTCTCCAAAGACTGGCCAGTGTCTGTGCAAAATCCAGGAAACAGATACAGGTACTGGAAATAGAGTATCCGCACGGAGACAGACAACTGTCTGTCTTGAAAAGCCTGCTCCCATGAAGCTCCTGAGATGTCACTGGCTAGTTCAAGACTAGGTCACCAGGACCCTCGTCATTCCTGGTATGGAAGTCTCAGAGGGGGTATATGACCATTGGAATGCCAAACAAAGCAGGCAGAGTCTTAAATCTAAACACTGGGTACCATGTCCCATGCCCTCACCTGCCGCAGCATCGCTTTGAAGGCCATGGACCGCAGTCTTGTGGTGAGAATCTCGCCAGCTTTCCCAAATGTGAAGCCCTGGGGGAGAGAAAAAGGCTCGGGTTCCCTTCGATTCTCATGATTGTCTTCTCACAACTGCATGCATTCACGCTGATTTTACAGTATCTCTATGTCGATGCAAATAATGCAGGCCAACTTAAAACGCAGGCTCTGCAGAGTCAGTGGTGTGTGCTGGAACAGTAACACCGAAAACCTGTACGTGTCCCGTTTCAGCTTCTCTCTCATTTCGAGGGCAGCATCCCAGTAACCAAGATATCGCATTGAACTAGAATGTTTGTTGGGTTCCTAACACTTCGAACATAATGAAACAAAAAAAAAAAAAAAACCAAATTCTGCACAGAGACACACTTCGGCTGCTGTGCTGTAGAAAGAGGAGATTCCCCTCCACTGGCACAGCCCCACCTGCTCCCGGAATAGCCAGCAATTAGGTTTCACTTCCTCTCCAAGTCTGCCTGCCAGACAGTTTCCCTCTCCCTAACAATGGTGTCCAAGCTGGAGAGGAGCCCAGACGTCCAGAGCTGGCCTTGCTTCTGGAGCACGTAGCGTGGTTGGGCTCCAGCAATGATGCTGTGAGTGCCGGGCAGGCTGTGGCAAACGCTTGTGAAGGCACACTGCAGGACTCTTGACTAAGCCAGGAGCGTGAGTGGGGCACAAGTGCCTCCCAGGGTCCTTGAGTAGGACAGGCCTCTCCTCGCCTGTCTTTGCTGGAGGACTGCTGCATGCTGCCCCATTGCTCCTATAACTTCCAGAATTCCGCTCCCCAGAGAGCCTGGCACCTCTGAGGCGCTCCTGACAAGGCAATGATTTCCAGATAAAAAAAAATCTCATCTTGCCATTACCTCTGACTCCGTAATGAAAAGGGAGAAGCATGCTGGGCATGACTAGTTACATTCCGCTCGCACCCCTGATTGTCTTTGAGAACCCCGTCATTCCCACTGGATTGACCATGGCTTGGGGAAAGCTTAATTTGGTAGAAAAGAAAAACAGGTACCAATTTCTTGTTCTTGTCTACTTGTCTGAGTCAGGACTTCACTGTGTAGTCCAGGCCAACCTCTAACTTGTGATTCTTCTGCCTCAATTTCCCGTGTGCTGGGATTATAGATATGTACCACCTGCCTGGTTTTGACAAGCTTTCCTGGCCTGGTTTATAATATATGGATATAAATGTATGTCCTTTTTAATAGTTCGCCAATTAGGAAGGAAAAGAAATTCAGTTACTTGATATTGGGGAAAGTAATAACAAAAAAAGAGAGGATTTTATTCTATTGGTTTTCAGTTTCCAGTGGATGAGCCTGGGACTTCTTCTGCCATAATGACTATTTGCCAAGGACACACTTGTTTGCACACGTGGGGTTTCCCGGTGAAGGGGTGTGCCCTCTAACCAGCCTTGCCTCCCACTCACTTCAGTGTGAGTATCTGTTGTTTGGTTAGGTGTGTATCAGTTTCTCCAGTCCCAGACAGGCAGAGCAATCTTACCTGAAGGAAGAAGGTAAAGAACGAAAGGACTCCCAGGCCCAAGAAGATCAGTGAGAACATGTTACACTTCTGCTGCTTCACGGCATCGTCCCCGGGGCCGAAGATCTAGAGAGAGCATTAGAACACGTGTGAATGGCCGGACCCAGCCTGCTCACTCCTGCCCTAGACAATCTGTGAAAGCAGTCTTTCAATATGTGATGTTTCCAAATTGCAGGAAAGTACAACGAGCAAGGATTGAGTATTTTAACCATTATTAAGTGTACAGTTTAGTGGCCTGACATACATACATATTATCATAGGGCTTTTTGTCCCCTCCATTGCCAGCATGATTTCATGATCCCAATAAACAACTCTTTGTTCCCCCTCCTTGTAGGCCCTGGCGTCATCTGTGACTTGGGGGATTATGGGTCATACATAGGTTGAGAACAGCAGGGAGCTGTGAGATGCCTCTCCCCTTCCTCTGTCCCCTAGCACCAGCCCTCAGCCTTCCCCTTCAGGAGCTTATCCTGACCAACCTTCTCCTCTCCTTTGTTCCCATGCTCTGCTCTTAAAATACTTATTAATACCGGACACATTCTAAGGCTGTATTTTTGTGTGTGTGTTGTGTGTGAGAGATGCCAAAGGAAGATTCGTTTCATGAACTGTCTTTCTAGTGTCTGGACCTTAAAAAAATGTGCCTGCAAGTCATGAGTCTCTTGAGGTACAAGAAAGCCACAGATTGTCTTATACTGAAATTTAAAGACTCAGAGGGTCCTTTCTAATTTTTTTGTTGTTTATGGTCTTAACATAGATCAATGCCTGACATCATGAGACTAGTATGTTTCAGCATGTTGGAGGACAATTTGTTTCTATTCAACAAGTCTCCCCAATAATCATAGAGGGTGGTTAAGGTGTTTACACAGCACAAAGACAGACACTTGGGATCGCTTCGTACTCACGTCCCTTGCTGGGTTTACTGATTGGGTTTGAAGCTGCACGGTTGGCAGACACTCTGAAATGCCCCCACATGGTTAGCTATGTGCTCTCCATCCCCAGGCACTCTGTGAGACTGCTCATTCCACACATGAAGAAACAACTGTGCAAGTGTAGTTCCTGGGGTCACCCACATGCTCAACATGGAGGCCAGCCCGTGCCTAGAACCTGGGCTTGCCGGAGAGTAGGATGTGAACTCACCTTCCCATCCATTCCAACCCCTCCGGGCCTGTGGTCCTGTGAGCCAACTGCCAGCCCTTCTAGATAAACACATACGAGCTACCACCTGACCCGGGTTTCACCCAAGTGATGACAGTTAACCAGAGTGATTTCTTCGTTGTTTTTATACTTTGTAAGTTCCTAATGTTGTGACAGGATGCTTCAAAGGCTACTCATTTTCTCTTATAATAAGATTGGCTTTAAAAGGAAATTAAGGGCTCTACTTAGGTTAATCCGAAGGGACATAGCCCCAGACCTGGCGAGGCTGAGCTGAGCAGTCTGATGACATGTCTCTGCTCAGGTTGCCATGGATTCTTCACACTTACAGCTATCATCTCTGACAGGATGATGGAGATGGCTGGCTGGAGGGCCCCGTTGACAATGGCACAGACTGTTCCCACCACAAAGTAGGGCCACTCCGTCTTATTCAGCTTCAAGACTTGCAGAAAAGACACTGGTGGCACATTTGCATCCTAGAACATATAGATGTCAGAACAAACTGGTGATACCGCCCTTTGGTGCCGCAGACACAAGCTGGTGACCACACAGTCGTTCGGTGCCACAGACACAAGCTGGTGACCACACAACCATTCGGTGCCCACAGACATGAGCTGGTGACCATGCAGTCATCTGGTGTTGTAGACAAAGAGGAGGCATGACTATTACCCTCAACTGTTATGCAGACTCAATACAAAAATATGTCCTGTCTTTGACAGTACCTACAATGACACAGGGTTGAGCATGAACCTTACACACAGGTGAAAATTTCCACGCTGTGGCCACTGTCTCTGATCTGCAGCTTGTGAGGTAGCAGGATCAAAGTTTCAGCTCGGGGTCTGTGTGATAGTCACAGTTAGGCCACCTGAGCTGAGCTATAGTTTCCCATCAGCATATAACGCTATGGCCTTGCCTTTCTAACAGCGATGCTATCAGATCAAACGAGGCAATAGACAGAAACAGATGGATCCATATCCTCTCAAATGTAGAACAGCATCATTATCAATAATGATATTTCTCTGCCCAGGACTGCCAGATTAATCACAACCCCTTTCTTATCACAAAGGCTGATCCCAATGATGTGGGATTTCACTGGTTAATAAAGGCACTGCTTTGGGCCTATAGCAGAGCTATAGGGAAACAGAGCTAAGGTGGGGGAAAACTAAGCTGAATGCTGGGAGAAAGAAGGCAGAGTTAGGAAGAAGCCATGAAGTCGCTGCCGAAGACAAATGTGATTTTGCTGATAGGTCACGACTTCGTGGTGATGCACAGATTAATGGAGATGGGTTAAATTAAGATGTAAGAGTAGCCAAGAAGAAGCTAGAGCTAATGGGCCAATCAGTGATTTAAATAATACAGTTTCTGTGTGATTAGTTCAGGGCTGAGCAGCCGGGAACTGACAAGTGGCCACCCACTACATCTCAGGACTCATTTGGGACTAGTTTTAATATCTCTGGACTACAAAGGTGAAGATTAAACATCTCAGCACAACGACTATATTTTATCTTTTTTTCCCTAGGAAATCCTTTTTTCATTCCCATTTGTTTGATTCACTGTCAAATATATTTAAAAATTGGATTTCCTTTTCTTTAAAAAAGCATGCAGCCCACAGTAAGAAACACATATTCTTTAAGGCTAGGATTTCAACAGCAAAACCCCAAGACAAAGGCTTTACCCAGAGCGGAAAATAACTTACGAGTTCACTGGCGTCTGCCTCTAGCCTGTGCTGATGCGCTCTTGAACTTTTAAGACTTTTCTTCGTGGAGTTCCTGAATAAGTGAGCTTTCCAGCCATTGGGGGCCATGCCGCTTGCGGCCTGTTCTTCACTTAGTTCAACTTCAAATTCTGCTGACAGGCTGTGGCTTCCTGATGTCTGAATGACAGATAAATCATTAAATGTGTGTGTGTGTGTGTCCAGATGAGTAGAATCTCCAAGTTTAGAATAACAAAGCAACTCTAAATGTTATATGTATCAAGATATCTACAGAGTTAAATTTAAACCAGGTTGAGGTTTGAGAACAAAGAAACAGCACTAAATTGAGCATCCAGTGAGCCCTCAAGGTCACCATGGTTCCTCCTCCATTTCTGCTAAAGGACCAACAAGGAACTGGGAGTGAAGCACAATTAATAAAAACTCAGGGTTAGAAACTGGGGTTCAACCTGAAGATCTGAAAAGCCAAAGAGCCAGCCACTAACTCTAACTGAACCTCAGTGTGAAATGGCGATTCTTCCTCCTAGAATCTCAGGAGCCTGCATCTGAGAGCGGACTCACCCCATCTTATATTCCTTTCTAGGGCTTGGATCAAAAGCGTGCACCACTGGGACCAAAGGCATGCACCACCCGATTTCTATGGCTACTGGGATTAAAGGTGTGTGTTACCATAACCTGGTCTGTAAGGCTGACCAGTGGGACTGTTTGACTCTCAGATCTTCAGGCAGGATTTATTTATTAAAATTCATTTGAAATGCCACTACATGGGAGGGTAAAACAAAACTCAGAAGTAGGCATGGCGAGGGGACCAAGGGAGAAACACACAGGTCCTAAATTCCCCAGAACTGTTAGGAGCAGCAGAGGTGATTCAATGTAGCCCGATTCACTTCACATGGGATAACAAGGCCTAACTGGCTAAATTTGGCAGCACTACTACTGACAACTAGCTGCATATTATTTTAATTTATTCATATTGGACGACCATTCAGTTTGAAAATGAACGTGTTCTCTTGGGAAAGAAGGCCAAGAGAATATGGTACAGACTTTAGAGCAATCTGTTTGTCTCCCAGCCGAAGTCCTTGTAGTAGCGTGAGGCCATTCTTATGGATTAAACAGACATGGGACAGATAAGGATGGGTAAGAGTTATTTCACTTGAGGATCCCACATGTCATCCCAAAGCCTTGCTCATAATCATGTCAACATGAAAACTAAAATGGATTTAAAATACCATGTCTCTGTTTCTTTAGCTGTAATTAAGAGCAAAAGCAACTTAAGGGACAGAGAAGAGCTTTGATTGGCTGGCAATTCCAGGCTAGGGTCCATCCCAGTCACAGCTTGAGGGAGCAGCTGCAGTGGATCCAGCATCAGGAAACAGAGAGCAATAAGACAATGGCACTTTGTGAGTCCGCGATTGTCTGCTCAGGGAATGGCGCCACCCACTGTCAAGGTGGGTCTTCCCACGTCATTCGTGAAACCAAGATGGCATGCCTCAGAGGCCCATCTTCCTGGGGGTCTAGATTCTGTCCAAGTGACAACCTTACCCATTATAATTACATCTATTTTAAAATAGAAATTGATAAAGAGCATTTATATAAAACTGAATTTTATATATTTTTCTGACATTTCATTCTTTGAGGAATTTGAAATTTTGAAACTGTCCTGTGTCCGGGTCTTTAAAAACACAGTAACAGCTCAATAAGACGTGATCCAAATAGCAAATCCATCCTGTAAAAGTGGCCCGTAGCTTTCCAGGGTACTCAGACATTCGTGTAATTTGTTTACTTTTTAGGACATATATGTAGTATGTATAACATATTAGCATATATGTTTTACTTGACATGTACTGCACACATTGAGTGAACTCAGTGTGCTATTTTGTGTGGGGTGCAAATGTATGTGTGGGAGTGTGTGTGTATGTGTGTGTGTATGTGAGTGTATGTGTGTATATGTGTGTGTGTATGCGTGTGTATGTGTGTGTGTATGTGTGTGTGTATGTGTGTGTATGTGTGTGTGTATGTGTGTGTGTATGTGTGTGCGTGCGTGTATGTATGTGTGTGTGTGTGTGCGTGCGTGTATGTATATGTGTGTGCGTGTGTGTGTGTGTGTGTCTGTGTGTGCCCCCTGAACATGTGAGTGAAGGGCAGGTGACAACCTCAGGGTTGGTGCCTTGGATTTCTCTACCTTTCCTCTTTTTCTGAAAGAGGGTCTCTCACTTGTCTGGAACCCGCCAAGTAAGCTGGCCTGGCCACCCAGAAGCCCCCAAAGATCCACCTGTTGTCCCCAGACACTACATGGTACATGCCATCATGCCTGACTTTTTTTTTCCTTCTGGAAACTACCTTAGGTCCTCGTGCTTAGAAGAGGAGCATGCTACTGGCTGAGCTGCCATCCCAGCCACCAGTGAGCTTCTCTACAGGTGCTTAAAATCGCCATGACTGGTCAGGGTGATTGACATTTTGGTTACTTTTCAAAGTCTCCCCTCCTCGTGCTAGTGTGCCAGGAAAGTAACTCAGTGGTGGAATGTTTCCCTTGCACAACAAGGCTCTAGTTTCAATCCGCACAGATGAAAAGGAAACAATCTCTCTCAGCTCTTTTGACATCCAGAACTCACTGTGGTCATAGTTGCCCTTCTGGGCTCTGGAACATTCTTTCCTTCTGCCTGCATCTCTGCACCTGTCAATCATCTTCTCCCTGGCGCTCCCTACCACTCCCCAGTCTCTACAAACCATAATTCTATTTCTTGTTCTATAAGAGCACTAGCTCTCGCATTTCAGGGCGAGGCATTCGGAAATATAGCCATGACTCTCAGTAGGCTTGCTAATCCCAATGCGGACTGATACTCAGCGGGCTGGGGCTCGTCGGGAAATTGAGGGAATTGTTAGCATTGCTTTCAGCTGTGCCTGTACTGCAATGTTTAAATAAAGGAAAAAATGTTAAAAAACAAAACAAAACAAGCTAAGTATTCAATTTTAGAGAAACAAATAGTTTCACATACTTCTATAACTACCGCTGAGTAATTGAAATAATATTTCATGATGTGTACCGGAAGTGTCAAGGGGGAAATCTGCGATACACACACAGGAGCTTATCATAATGCCAAAGCAGACGCACATAGTTTAAAATGTACGAACTACAGTCACAGCGACGTTCTAGGTTACTTATTCTGTAAGGCTGGTACACTGAGAGTGCACCACAGGAGACGAGGTGATGGTGTTTTAGTGGCTAGAGAACACAGGAGACGAGGTGATGGTGTTTTAGTGGCTAGAGACCACAGGAGACGAGGTGATGGTGTTTTAGTGGCTAGAGAACACAGGAGACGAGGTGATGGTGTTTTAGTGGCTAGAGAACACAGGAGACGAGGTGATGGTGTTTTAGTGGCTAGAGAACACAGGAGACGAGGTGATGGTGTTTTAGTGGCTAGAGAACACAGGAGACGAGGTGATGGTGTTTTAGTGGCCAGAGAAAACAGGAGACGAGGTGATGGTGTTTTAGTGGCCAGAGAAAACAGGAGACGAGGTGATGGTGTTTTAGTGGCTAGAGAAAACAGGAGACGAGGTGATGGTGTTTTAGTGGCCAGAGAACACAGGAGACGAGGTGATGGTGTTTTAGTGGCCAGAGAAAACAGGAGACGAGGTGATGGTGTTTTAGTGGCCAGAGAAAACAGGAGACGAGGTGATGGTGTTTTAGTGGCTAGAGAAAACAGGAGACGAGGTGATGGTGTTTTAGTGGCTAGAGAAAACAGGAGACGAGGTGATGGTGTTTTAGTGGCTAGAGAAAACAGGAGACGAGGTGATGGTGTTTTAGTGGCTAGAGAAAACAATTTTTTAAAGCCAACCATTCACTTCCGAAAGCTATGAGTGTTGCCACTTGCTTTACCAAGTTTGTCTACAAAGGATCGGGAAATTGCAGCCTTTTCCATGACCACTGTAGGTCTCTCTCTCGGTCCACTGAGAAGGACCTGTTAGTTTGGACACATGCCCCAGACAATCACTAATCACTGGGTTAATCTACTGGGTACATTAACTGTGAATTTTGCCTTTGCCTGTCTTCCCCTGACCTTTCGCTCTTTCCCAGGTTATGAATTAAGGCTTTGAGGCTTGCCTAATTTTAATGCCTCGATCTAGTCATATTTCCTTGTGTGAAATTAGCTGCAATTTGTTTTAGTAACTTAAAGACTACCGTATTCGCTGCCCAGAGAGCAGAGGGAAAGCAACTGGGCAAGCGGTACCTGCGTGTTCACGAGTTTGAAGTAGACCCCTTCCTTCTCCATCAGCTCCCTGTGACTTCCCTGCTCCACGATGACGCCATCCTCAAGCCCGGCGATGACGTCAGCATTTCGGACTGTGGACAGTCGATGGGCGATCACAATGGTGGTGCGCCCTTCTCTAGCCTAAAGGGGAAACGGACAGATCTGTGGTGCACTGGGATTATGGTGCAAACACTGTCAATCAACAGGCACAAACAAGCCTTGGGTAAGACGCTGTTTGAGGTAGAGAGTGACACCCACATTTTGGTGTATGCATAGGCACTTCTCTTCCGTAGAAGACAAAAGTCACATTTGAGCTCCAGACCAGGCAGGGAGCAACCCTTTCAATCTGAGGGCCGATTACTCTGGAACACTATGGAGTTTCTGATACTCAAGAAAGTTAAAGGTTTGTTTGTCCGATGGGCCCTACCTCTGAGCTGTGTGGTGCACTGAACACTGGCAGAAACATTTTAGGGAGGTCATTATGAAGCCATAGCTTTCTCCAGATCCTGATCTGAACATAATTTACATGTTACATACATATATATTCACATATTTATTTATATGTATTTTACATATATTTCAATGTATTTGCCCTTTTATTGGTTTAACAAAATTAGTAAATTTACAAAGAAAAAGCTTAAAATTTAAAATAAAGTACAGTGAACCACAGAAAGGGACACTATGCTATCACTAAAAATTGTTATAGAAAAATGCTTAGAAATTATAAATTTTTTTTAAATATTTATTTATTTATTTATTATGTATACAATATTCTGTCTGTGTGTATGTCTGCAGGCCAGAAGAGGGCACCAGACCTCATTCCAGATGGTTGTGAGCCACCATGTGGTTGCCGGGAATTGAACTCAGGACCTTTGGAAGAGCAGGCAATGCTCTTAACCGCTGAGCCATCTCTCCAGCCCGAAATTATAAATTTTTAAAATTAATTTCTTCACATAGTTTACCATAAGTGCTTTCGTCAAACAGAACCAAGCACAAGAAAGAAGCAAAACTAGACGGTTCCTCCCACAAGCTTTAATCTAGGTTCATTGCACCATGGTGGACGGTAGCCAAGACCACTGACCTCTCTCTGCGGCAGACCAGGAGAATCGATAAACCCCAAGAGATGACTTCATTTGCCCTATGGGTTTGTTTCTCAATCTAGGCTCCAAAAGAACTGACAGAGATTTGCAAACCATTCCAATTTGCTGTCTCTCCCCAATCCCGGGTGTTTATCCCTCAGGTACTGACCTTATCCAGAGCCGCCTGTACCTCAGCTTCACTCTCTGTGTCCAAGGCTGACGTCGCTTCGTCCAGCAGGAGGATCTTGGGGTTGCGGACCAGGGCACGAGCAATGGCGATTCTCTGTTTCTGTCCCCCACTCAGCTGCGCCCCTCTATCACCAACCAGGGTGTCAAATTTCTAAACAGAAAACCCAGAAAAACTCTGGAAACATTCATTCAACCAATTTTCCAGTGTTGGGGATCAAACCCAGAAGGGTTTTGAGCATGCTCAGCAAGCTGTCCACCATTTGCCTGCATGTATATCTATGTGAGGGATCACCTGGAACAGGAGCGACAGACAGTTGTGAGCTACCATGTGGGTGCTGGGAATTGAACCTGGGTCCCCCCAGAGAGCAGCCAGTGCTCTTAACTGCTGAGCCGTCCCTCCAGTTCATGTCAGCCTTCTTCAAATATTTGAAACACGGAAGTGTGGACTTTGTAGAGACAGATGGAGACAGCTGAAGCTTTGACTGTCATAATGGGTCATAAACCCTAACAAATGAACACTGAATTTGAAAGTTACTACCACATAGCCTATATGCTTTTATATCGTTTTCATACAAATATAGTCTGTCATCCTTAACTGAATAATTCAAGGGATTCACCCAGCAAGGCTGAACAACCTTGTAACACAAACTTTAGGCTTTGAAGCAACAGCTCAGTCCCTAATGTTTCAGATCTGATTTTAAGGGAGTCTTTACCTGTGGTAATTTCATGATGAACTCGTAAGCATTGGCTTCTTTGACAGCTTTCTTTATCTCCTCCATGGTTACATTGCCACGGCCATAGCGAATGTTCTCGGCGATCGTGGTGGCAAACAGTACCGGCTCCTGACTGACCACTCCGATGATTTCCCTCAGGTACCTGACATTGAAGTCCCGGATGTCCTGGCCATCGATGCTAATCTGGAAGAAAGACTTCCTATTCGGTATCTTAAACAACCTGATCTCTAAGGCTCAATGGCTCTTTACTGTGAGAACATCTTAGCTAGTATTGAATTCATCCAAAAGTTAGATATAACAATTAAAATAAACAGTAATACGCAAGGATAAAATAAAGCATCCATAGTTTCTCCTGATATTTTCATATATATAAAAATAGATTATTAATGATCCTCCATAAGAAATTTTAGATATGTAATTATTTGACACAGTGCTGAAAAAATGACCCCAAGGCCTTTTATATACTCAAGGGCTCTTCCTCGGCAGTGCGCATCCAGTCAGTGATGTTTTAGGCATGCCACTGTTTCAATTACTAACGATAAATTTAAGTTAACACGCCCCCTTACCTAACTAATCCACATTTATTTAGATGGCATTTTGGTGTTTTGTTATGCTTAACATACCATAATTTACTTTATCATTTCCTAACTTTTGAACATTTCTTTTTTCAAACATATTCTAAAAGCGAGAATTATTAAGTTGAGAAGAAAGATTTTTTTTTTCCTTAGTGCCAATTTACTGTTGTTTGCTGGGCATTTACTCCTTGATGAAGAAAAGCTAAATACATCGCTTCATAAGTAACTTAGTAATGGACAGCATAAGCAGAAATAAACAAAACGTCTTCTTCATTATACCTTACTAGGACTGGGGTCCATTGCTGACCATTTTTTAATTGTTTGTTCTTCGGCAATTTAATGTTCAATACAGATCTACGTAAATAATGCATTCTGCTTATTTCACCCCAGTCCTGGCTTACCTTCCTCCCGTCCCTGTCCCTGTCAACTCTCCCTCCTACCTACAAGTCCTTTCCGTGGTTCGTGTCTTTTTGCTGTATTTTTTGACCCACTGAGGCCATCTATGTGACTATGGGTTTGGAACTAATGTTAGAGCCTGGTGGGCTCATAGGGGCAGGAGTATACAGGTAAAAAATGGTTGTCCTTCTCCCAGAATCTATATCCCATAGTTTAAGCTGACCATTTCTCAAAAATACTTTGTAAATTGATATTTATCTTCTCCTTTAAAGCTTAATTGTTTAAGAATTCCATGCATTGATTGATACATTCACCCTCTCGTCCCAGCTTTCCCCAGATCCAGCTCCCTTCCACACCCACTAATTCTTATTTATATATACATATATATAAATTATGATTTATATAGAGAGATAAAAATTATATTATCTTCATTTACATACACCACACACACATAAATGAAGTCCAACCTTTGTTGTCTATATACTCTTGGATGTAGTCATGTACTAGAGTACGGTAGACCTATCAGGGTATGTAAAGAAAATAACTTTATATTTATTCTCCAATCATTTGTTTGTTTGTTCATATCCTAAAATCATAGGAGCGCCCAGCACACTGTGGGTAGTTTCATTCCCTGAGAAGGTGGCCTGGGCTATAGGATATAAGTGAGCATGATGAAGAGAGAGCCAGCTAGCCAGCTCACTTCCTCCATGACCTCTGCTCCACGGTCCTGCATGAGTTCCTGTCCTGACTCAATGATGGCTGTCGCCAGTAAGGAGAAGCCAAATAAACCCTTTCCTACCCTCAGTCGCTGTTGGCCATGGTCACAGAAAGAGAGCTAAGATCCTTTGTAGAGTTGTGTTTCATAGTTGATGACTAACATTTGGGAAACACAATGTCCTTAAGTTGGGACAGCTGAAGAGGAGTGTAAACTAAGTTAGTCTTGTTAACTTGGGGTTTCAACAATTCCGATCGTCATTCTCTGTACAAGAGAATAGCCCTCTTAGGAAACATATTCTGAAGTCTGTCATATCCTGTAGCTTAGCCCACATACACGGAAAAGGAGAAAAAAGTAAATGGGTCAAAAATAAAGATGATCTAGGTGAAGGGTATGTGTATTCCCTGAGGGGGAAAAAAGAGAATATTCTAGCCTGTTCTCACCTCTGTTCTGGTAGGAGATTCCGATTTCTCCGTGTTATACTAAAGCTAAAGAAAACAATCATTTTTGCTGAATGTAATTGCAGTTTTACGATATCTGTGGCCACAATTCCAGACTGTCAGAAATAACTTTGTGGAATTTGTTTTGTCAACTCAGACTCAGCTGGGAGCAGTATTTGGTGACAGAAGAGTCCTGTCTAGTGCCTGTTGTTTCAAGGCTTTCACTGAAAGCATTTGCCCCATGCCCAGAAATATGTGCCTTGTCCCAATGTGTTGCGACACTGTGTGCTCTTGCCAAGCTCAGATGCACACACGGATTTATCTGTAAGAAAACAATATCTAGGGCCAATTTATGCCCAGCTTCCCCAGCTGGGGAACTTGGCTCTTCCCACTTACCGTACCCTCTGTGGGGTCGTAGAGCCTCTGCAGCAGCTGGACAGTGGTGCTCTTCCCACAGCCACTGTTGCCGACCAGGGCCACTGTCTGTCCACTCTGCACCTTCAGGTTGAGGCCCTTCAAGATCTGCAGGAGAAAGCAAGGCAGAACACACTTCACAACACAGCTCCAAAAGAGGAATAATTCAATACTAGTTAGAATTAGGGGGAAAAAGGAATCAATTAAGAGTTTAACTCCAACAGGACAAAGTACATAAACATCCCAGGAAGTAGACTATAGAACAATGATCAGAGATTATTTAAGCTGGGAATTCCAGTACTATTGACAGTACCTTGATATTAGCCCGAGATGGATATGAAAAGTGAACATCACTGAAGTCCAGATTTCCTTTGATGCTGTCTGGTTTGTGTCCTCTCTCTGAAAGACTGTCAATTTTAGGATTCTAAATAAAACAAAATTCAATGACTATTTTATCAAGGAATAAGCAATTATAATTTTAAGGAATAGGGCTCATCAAATGCTAAAAATAAAACCTGGAGTGGCATAATCTTGTTCATGTGAGCAAACCCACAGTGAAGGTGTGGTGTGTGTATGCATGTGCATGGCCCCTGTGTACACGGATGTATACATGTGCATGTGTGTATGCATGTGTGCGTTGTGTTACATGAAACGTTTATAGGGGATATTCATTTTATTTCATGTGACGCCTCACTTCCAGTTTTTTGACATATATGTGTAGATTTTCTAAATGGCCAAATAGGTATGCTTTTACTCACGTTGTCAATAATGTCAAAGATCACGTAAGCTGCTCCTCGTGCATTGGCGAAAGCATCAATACAGGGGGCAGCCTGCCCCACACTGAAAGCACCAATGAGGATTGAGAAGAACACCTGAGCGAAAGAACATGGGAATGGTTAGGGCAGAACGACCATCCGAGTTAGAGCTCGCTTGAAATACCAAGTACAAAGGAGGGAATTTAAGATTTATTGAACATGTAGCAATCTTTATTTCATATTAAGAAATTGTATTTGCACATCTTTATGGACACATTGTGCTAATTTGATACATGTATATAATTAGAGTGATAAGCACTTTTGTCATTTATAAAAAATAAAAACTGCTTCAGTAGAGAACAAAATTTATAAAAATCAATATAGCATTCTATTACCTGTGCTTTTCAGCATCAAAAATAAGTTTTGCTTAGTCTTCCAAACTATTTGCTGCATTTTTCTGATTATATAATTACCTGTCATAAAGACTTCTGAAACCCATTTCATTAGCGCCAAAGTTAATGCCACCAATGTACTTTCCCACTAGTGTTATTATTTAGTTCTTTACCATTTTCTCTATCTCTGTGGGAACTGCACAAAACGTTCAACAGGAAACATTACAGATTTTGACCCCATGGAATTTTTCCTTGAAAGGCTATTGCAGACTTATATATGGACATATGGACAAAATTTTGTGCAAAATGTTAACTTATTTTTTTTAAAATACCTTCTTGTAGACCAAGATGGTCTGAAACCCATTATGTAGCCCAGGCTGACCTGGGCCTCATAGGAACCCCTATTTTCTAACCCCAGTCTCCTGTGTGCTGAGATTAAAGGTGTGTGTGGCCATTCCTAGTCAGTTCACCCATTTATAGGACACGAAATTTATAGGACTCTGGTTATTCTGTTCTACAGCACACAAAATAATGCATTTTTCTTCTTGTTTTTTCACTGAAAAATAAACTCATATATAAATTCAAGAATACAGTTTCAGGAAACCAGATTAATAGCATACATAATTTAAGAAAAATATAGAAGAGAAATTACTCTCTTCTCTCTAGGCATAGTAAAACTTCTACATATAGCTTATTTTCTCTGAAACAACAGTCTTGTTCATGTTTACAAAACCCAAACACATTTAATTATCTGTCTCTTATCTCAATATAAATAAGGACCAATGAGAAAAACTTCTCATCAGAGTAGATGCTAAGACGTTAATGCAACAGTCTCAGCGCTTTGTGTGGGGATCGCCAGGTTCCCTTTATCTTGGAAGCCACTTTCAGCCTTGTGACACGGATATTCTCCTCATGCTACAAACGTGAGCAAATTCATCACAAGGTTAATGGCAAAGTCACGATGCGACTCTGTCGAGTCATCAGGGGGAAAGGAGGAAGTGAGAAAAAGTGGCCAACTGACACAGAGCCGCCAGAGAAGAGAGGGCTGGGGCGGCGAGGTTGTTACTAATACCCTCAGCCTTGCCCAAGGCCTGGTGAAGCCAGCGTAGTGTACATTGTGAGATTCAAGTTTCTGTATGGAAAAAGTTCAGGGACCGAATTATACTTAGGATTTTCATTTAAAGAAACAAGTTTTGAAACATTTCTGTTAAAATGATTTTGTACTGACCAACCCCAACATGGGACGATGATCACAAAATATCAGTGGTTTACAGAAAAGATTGCCCAAGGAAGACCTAGATATTATGACCTCATTTTGGGGGAGAGAAAGCGTATATATCTGAAAAATACATACCAAAATTCACCATCAAGTCTACATGAATTGTTAGACTGTAAGTAATTAAAACTTTAAAAGTGTTTATTTTAATCTTTAGAATAATTAGAATATGTTATTTTCATAACCGTGTCATGAGGGCATTTTCACATAGACAAGTGAACTAACAAATTTTCTTTTATATTTTAAGAAGCTGGTACTTACTGTGTTGTGAATTGAATTCTATTTTATACAATGACCTATCTATGATAATAGATGTATATTATATCCTCAAGTTAAACTCAACAGGAGAATAAGGGTATTTCCAATACATGCTATTCCATTCATAAATTCTTTCCCTCTTCATTTCCCTTTGCATGCATATGTATTTCCCCAGTATGTTATTAACTTGTCCCCATTCATCACTAGGACTTGTATGTTTCAGAAGGTCAGCTCTACCCACACGACAGCAAAGATAAAACAAACAATCGCAACCTATTCTTCCAAAAGAAGGAAGATGGAAAAAGAATAGGCAGGGGCTGGAGAGATGGCTTAGGGTTAAGAATACATCCTGCTCCTGCAGGGACCAGGTTTGGTTCATCATACCTATAGCAGGTGACTCATCACAACCTTCTTTAACTCCCGGTCCAGGGGAATCCTACACCTCTAGAAGGTACTTGCACTCATCACACACACACACGCGCGCGCACACACACACACACTTTAAAATAACACTAAAATCAAATCTTTAAACAAGAAAGAGAAGGTGGGGGTAAAATGAGCACAGATTGCTCGTAAACATCGGAGGTATTACTTACAGTCACTGCATTTCCAATAGTATACTCTTTTGAGATGACCAGAGTGGACCCATACCAGAAGGCCAGTGCGTAGGATGCATATATTAACAAGAAGGCGATGCCCATGGATATGTTCGCTGAGATAGCCTTTTTTATTCCAATTTTTTTGGCATTTTCTAAATGTTTCTGATATCTGCCAGAAAATGAAGAGGGGAATGTTATGATGAGAAAAACAATTTACAACCTGAACCATAATCACCTCTTTTTCAGCAAGGAGTTTTTTTTTTTTTTTTTTTTTTTTAAAAAAGGTAATAAACTCTTGGGAGCCCCAGCATCCTGAGAAGTGGCCCCATTCAGTCTCAGGGCTCACTAGAACAGACCTAGCCTGCTCCTCACCGGCCTGCTTCATCTATGCTGAACTCTCCCATGCCAACTAGTGTTCCCATGGCTGCCCCGGAATTGAAGTCGCACTCCTGGAGTAGAAACAATCTTATTATTATCTTCATGGCCAGCATCACCCATCAGGATTAAGGTAGGATTAAAATAAACAACATAACCCCAGATGGCTACTCTAGACTCTTTAATGGTTACATTCTTAACCTTTCTACTTCCCTCTCTATAGAAAAGAACATTTTCGCTAGATTGCTCTTCTGGGTAAGGGATTTTTATAAATCAAGCTGCCTTCATTGCCAAGTCAGGTGTAAGGTCAGGTGTCTTTCTCCATTTTTTTTTTTTTGACTTTAGTTTCATTGACTGAGAAATGGAGGCAAGAACTCTACCAACTAATGCCTACTTAGGAAGATAATCACGAGGCTGGCGGATAATTACAAAGCGGAGTTAGTATATTAATGGCTGTATAGCTGGTGGCGAACTTGCTAATTCTTGTTTCTGTTGCTCCTACCATACTAGAACATATTTTCTTATATTTTTCATCCTATTATCATCTTACTTTTGAATGATATTTTAGTATCTGAATATTTTAACTTCACATGCAGCTATATATGTATACATATGTATTTACAAATCTTATGAATGAGTTTAACACATCAAAGTATTTTTACATCAGGTTAAATTAATTAAATTAATTAATTAAATTCCGTGCTAGATTCAATCACTGTAGAAAGTCCAGGGTTGGCTCCCTAATGGATTTCCAATGAAACTCTGAGGGAAAACATCATATAAACTGGAGGATTTCTTTTTATCAACACTCCCCAGCAACATCACTATATTTTTTAGTTCAACCAAATGAGGCATGGAAATTCATTAGTCATTTTTTTTAATGTATGCTGCCAAGCAGAAAGGTTTTCCTAAACGCCTCTAAGCACCCAGTTCTCTAGAGTCCTTTCCTCCACTGTGGATGCTGCACTCATCCAGCAGAGCTGTGTTCGAGGAGGCAGCCAGGGCACCACATCCAACACTGTGGTTCCTGCTGAGCGGCAGAGCCTCCAGGTGCACGCAGCAGCAAGGTTGCCCTGTGCCCCAGGGTGACGCAATGCTCCAGTGAGAGTGGGCATGCCGTAATTACCTTCACTGGGTAACGGAGCAGCGTGATTACACGGCCATCCTGAGGTCCAACTGAGGGTTAGTGTGGTCTGTGGGGACTATTGTGTACAGGAAGCAGCAGTGAGAGAGAAAAAAGGAAGAGGTTAGAGAACCAGAGACACGCTGGCTGTGAAGAGGGATGGAGAACAGAAAACCAGAAAATGAAGAGGAATGGGTTGGAGAACCCGTGTATTTAACACTGGAAACTTGGGGAATTTCCAGACACTGTATTCAAAGAGTTGTGGGTATCAAAAATCTCACATAAAAAAGATATCTATATGGGGTCATATTTCAACTATATAGGGGTAAATTATTTTAATGAGAACATTAATGATTTATATAGACATGTATTTGTCTCCAAACTCATCAAGATATGCAAACTAAGTATATAGAGCCCTTTATCAATGCTATCTCAATGAAATTGCTTCTGTTTGTGTTGTTGTGCTTCTTAAGCAATTGCTTGTGTCCTCCAGCACATGGCCACAGAGAACGGCTTCTGGCATTGAGGCAGAAAGCCAGATGGGGGGTGGGGAGCTATGTCCGGTTCTCCTAGCCCCACAGAAAATCCTGGGTTGTGACCAGGAGATCCACATCTCAGATTTTTCTCTTCCGTATTCCAGTTCATTGCCACTAAGGGATTGGAAAAGTAGACAGTACCTTGGTAACTGTACTTTATTGATGGCTTTGGGACCCTGCATGTTTTCTTTTATGCAGTTAAAACTATTATGCTGGGAAGCAAGCCCCTAGGCATCATCGGGCCTCTAGAAGAGTCTGTAGAGCACAGAAGGATGACAAGTCACAGCCAGTGGCGACAGATGATTCTACCATATGGGGAAGGTGACTACCAGGAAAGAGAGAGCGGTAAACACGTACCACAAAAGGATGAATGAAACCACGGAAAAGTGGATTCTTTGAATCAGCAGACAAAGAAATTTCCTGACCTTTCTAGTTCTTTGTTCTGGCCCCCGAAAGCTATCACGGTCCTGATGGCTCCCAGAGCCTCTTCAGCCACGGCACCTGCTTTTGCGTATGCAGCTAGTTCTTTGTCACTGAACGTTGAGAGGATCTGTTCAGAAGAGACACAGTCACGACTTTTGCATGGAGAGAAGAGGTAAAAGACAGTCTTCACAGTGCTTTATCCCCCACTTGCCCACATAGACCCTACGCTTTACATCACTGAAAGCAGGTCTCAAGGCGGGTCTTGGCGTGCCTCTTATAAAGGCTTGATCCGGGCTACCCGAATCATCAGGGACAGTTTATTTGAGAATCCTGTCAAATCCACACCTCTCATATGTTTTTTTTTTCTGTCAACTCTGAAGTTAGATAAAATAAAACCTTATACCTTGGAAAGATGAATTATGCTTGTCCTTTCTAATGTCATAATTTGTGTGTGTATGAGAGATGTGTATATATATTTATGTGCATAAAAAGAGTATTAATAGCAAAAATACTGTATCTTATTCCAAGCTCAGCATCCATGTTTCTTAAAGATAGCTCATTAGCTTAGAGCTCACGATTAGTCTAGGCTGTCTCAATGGCCCTCCCCAGGCCTGGAACTCACTAGTTAGGCTGGGCCAGCTCAATGGCCATCCCCAGGCCTGGAACTCACTAGTTAGGCTGGGCCAGCTCAATGGCCATCCCCAGGCCTGGAACTCACTAGTCAGGCCAGCTCAATGGCCATCCCCAGACCTGGAACTCACTAGTCAGGCCAGCTCAATGGCCATCCCCAGGCCTGGAACTCACTAGTTAGGCTGGGCCAGCTCAATGGCCCTCCCCAGGGATCTGCCTGTCTCTGCCTCCCCAGTGCTGACCTTACAAACTTGTAACACCAAACCCAGGAATTTTTTTTTTTAATTTGGGTTCTGGGGATCTAACTAAAAAAAAATAAATAATGAGGACTTATCCTCATTTTTGCAAGGTGAGTTGAAAATGATACTTTCAAACTATTAATGGTGATTCTAGATAGTAGAACTAGATAATAGGATGGTTAAATAAGATAGCAGAGGAGAAAAATCAAAACAAAAGAGATACAACTAATTAAGTGAATCATCAGACTTAAGGTGTATGAAAATAGCCACCAAATTCACTCTACTCTAAAATGTTAGCTCAAGTAAATATGATTTTATGTGTATGCATACAAGTTAAAATCGACAGAGTGCTATGTAATTGTCACGGGGACCATAACCCCTGCCCCGTTTAAAACTTCTATTATTCATTCAATCATTTGGAGGACTATGTTTAAATTTGTGTTTCCTTAAATAAAAATAAAACCATACCTGTTATTTCAAACATCACATGAGAATATTTACTCAGAGAGGTAACAGTGAAATGAAGAATAGTGATTAAGGTAAGAACTGTAGTGTTTGGAATCATATTAAACATTAATATTGATATTAAAGCTCTATGTGAAGGACATACATGGCTTCTGCCGACACTGAGCACACCTCTGAATGGGCAGTAGATACACATACACGCTGAATACACAAAGCAACGCTCTGTGGGCCAGCACACAGAAGAATGTTGGGGTTTCACACACCTTTGCCCACACAGCTGTAGAGAGCCCCAGGATGGGGCTGATGGCCATGATCACCAGTGTGAGCTTCCATCCTCTGAGGAACCCCACTATGAAGCCTGCAAAAAACGTGGCTATTGCTTGAAAGAACATTCCAACCTTGTCACCAATTCCTTCACTGATTCTGGAGATGTCACTAAAAAAGATCACACCTAGGTGGTTACGGTCAGGAGGTCTTCAGTCAGAAGGTGAAGTAGACATTTAATAAACACACAGACAAGAACACCATGCCCATCCTACTGTGAGTCTTGTTTAGAGTCAGCCTCCTGGCTCTTTCCCCATGAAAACACTAACAAAGAAAACTCAGGATGAGTTCATGTTTCTAAGAAGTTAAGGCTATGAAGCTGATCCTATGAAATCCGTTAATCCTATCACAGAAGCATTAACACTGTGGCCAAGAGTCAATTTGTTTAAATGAAGAAATTAGAAAAGGTATTACAACAGTCAAAGCACAATCACAGAAAAGTCCTGTTCTAGGTCGAACATCATTTCTCTAAAATTAAAAAAAGTATATTCCTCTCCCTCCTTCCCTTCCCTTCCCTTCCCTTCCCCTTCCTTCCCTTCCCCTTTCTTTCTTTCTTTCTTTCTTTCTTTCTTTCTTTCTTTCCTTCTTTTCCCTCTTAACCACAGCCAGCATTTGTAACTTTATGAGCACTGTATTGATGCTAAAAGGTATTTCAGATTTTTCCTTTTAAGAGTGCTCCATTGGTAAAGTGTATACAGACATGTCAAAATCCCCAAGTCCACACATCAGGACCAACTCTTAGTTACAAGCATCTCATATACGAGGTATTCGACCTGTCCCCTTGCTTGTGTTCTCATGGTCAGTGTGACTGTAGTGTGACCATCCAAAGAAAGGAAATCTTACAGTGTTGTCATGGCTGCCGTTTCTTTCAGAGTGAAGCACGAAGGCCCTAAACGCCTTGGTCTTCTCTCTCTTCGTGACCTTACCTGTGCATGTGCCAGAATGCCCGGTGAGGAAAAGCTGATCATTTATTCCCCCTACTGGAGCAAAACACCAAAGAGACAGAGCAGCTTGCTCTGTTTGCTCATGTCCCGAGTCCCCAGGAGGACGCTTAGCATTTAACAGGCCCTCGAGTATTCGTTAAACAAGTGACGTGCCCACAGTTACTAAAGTAAGTCTTTGTAGTTAAGGCCACCACTTGCTCATCCATTCCACCGTCTTTAGGGGCTAGCACCTGCCAGGCCCGTAACAAGCTCCGTGAAAGAGAAATGCGTGTACGACACACACGCAGTCTTCAAATAGATTCACTAAATAGAGGGGGAAACAAACCCGAACATAAATGGGACATGTGACATAAGCTATAGAGGCTTCTATATGACTATCAGATATACACTCAATTTATAACTAACACGGAAAGTCATGATTTAATGTTTCAAATCGTCCTTCCCTTAGCAGTTCCCACAGAGTGCGTCATCTCTTCATGGAAATGTGGCGCCAACAACACACTTACTCTGTCAGGCGCGTATTGAGTTCAGCGGTGCCCTGGATGTCAAACCAGCCCATTTCTTGTCGGAGGATGGCATGAAAAAAGTGTTGTCTGATCTTCTTTATTTGCCGACCAGCTGCCAAAGTCCAGAACGAAACTTGGATGTAGGCAGCAATAAGGACTCCGCCACCTAGTCCTGAGTAGTAATATGCGTATCTGGAAAACAATGGGGAAGGCACCTTTGCCTGAAATACCACACAGTGATGCCTGCTGTGAGTCCCTCCAACAATGGTGGCAGTGCTCTGCTTTAAATTGGTGACAGTTTGTCCTAACTGTAGCCTGGGCTTGTGTACTTACTCTGAAAATGTCTCTACCCCTTCCACGTGGCAAACAGCACTAAGCATATGAAACATGTAAAACAGTTCTTAGTGGGAGGTTTTTCCATAAGGAAACCCCAAATCATCCTATTTTGCAGACTTTATTTTTCAAACATGAATTTTATAAGAAATTTAATAAATTCAAATTGGTTTGGAACAAAGTGTAACTAACTGGCTAACAGTTTCTTTTAAAATACTCAACTCCTTCTCAACGATCTCAAGTCTGTCTCTAATCTGACTTGACAAACTCCTTTCCATTTGCTTTCCAGACCTGCTTCAGCATGCAGAAATTCCTCGTTCATAGCTCAGAGCCATTAATATGCAGACATTGTGCTCCAGGCCTTTGAGATTTGTTAGGAAGACTGGAAGGGAGCGGAGGTCACACATGGCTCTACTGGGATCAGAGTGACCAAATGGGAAGAAAAGCTATAGATAACTGTGCTTTACTAATTTTATTAAAAGATTACCACGATTATGAACAGCATATCTTTTGCTAGGAACCACATGCAGGTAAAGGGTCATAAGCAAGCAACTTTCTTGAATCTGGGGGCTGGGACACAAACAATTGGCGGAGGTGGAGCTCGGGAAAGAACTCGGGTATTTTATATATTCTTAAAACACTGCAGTAAGAGACCATTTTTAGAGGAATCTTAAAAGGAACACACAGTGTATACATACACATAAATTACCTAGTCATTTCTTCTTCCAGAAGTCTTCCTGGATTTATCATTGACAATGAAAAATTTACTAAATAAAAACAAAAAAGAACATTTTAAAAAGAGATTATTAATAGGAATTGCTAGACTAAAAAAATCTGTTAAGAATATAACTGTGTGATGCTGCAGCCTAGTTTCTCAAAGAAAAATTTTTTTCACACCCAAGGTCTTTTGCAGTTCCCTGAAACACAGGTCTACGTGTTAAGGCACAGATGGGGGACCTGCTCTCCTGGTTCTACCCCTCCCATACACTCCTGGGCCTGCGGCCCAGCAGTTTCCTAAGGCACGTGGAAGAGCTGGTCAAAGGCAGAGGGTCACACAGCATACTGAAGGCAAAGGAGGCAAAAGGAACTGGACAGAAGGGAAACTTGGAGATTTGGTGGACACTGCTGTTTTTGGAGATTCAAAAGACTTGCTCTTGCAATTTTTATTTTTAAACTTTTTTTTTCCTACATACTTCCCAGTGACAAAAGCAGAACATTACAGACAGGGGAAATCCCAAAAGAGCGGCTCAAAAATCAGCCCCTGGATCTGCGGTAATCAGTCAGTCTTACAATACGTCTTGCTTACTAACAACAGCACTGGATATACTGGATATGTGTGTTTTAGGTAGCTGTAACTGAAAAGAACTGTACTGATTGATAAAAATGTTAACAAGACATTCCGAGTTGTCCTGTTTAAATGACAATTCCTATTCATTACAAGCCAGGTTTTGCTCTGAATACTTTACAAACATTTGTTTAACTGTCATAACAACCTTACGAGGTAAAGGATAGTTCAAAAAGTATCATGTTATGGAAAAGGAAATGGACGCAGAGAGAAATAAACATGTCCAAAGCCACACAGCAAGCAAGTAGGAATCTGTAGGCCCTTTGCTCTCACAGGGCGCTGTGCTGATGGATTTGTGTGGTGATGGCTTATTTCCATTTCAAACACACCCACGAACAAAGAAAGAAGCAGACCGTCTATTTACAGCATTTACGAAGTAGCGGGATAAAGTATCCCTGAAGCGTTGTTGCGAAAGTACCAGGGCGCTTCCCCTCCTCTGCAACCCAGGAGAGGAAGTGTTCTTTCTTCATCCTTTTGTCCTGTGCGAATGACCCAGGGGTCATGTTTTCTTGCTGTTGTGTGGCTGTGTGCCCTTCTTATCTTTCTCCAGTGGAAGATAAAAAGTTCAAATTTATTTTAAACCTAAACTATGTCGGGGTCGATCACCAGGAGTGCAGTCGGAGTGCAGTCTCCGTGAGTGCACGTCCCAGACCCTGCTGAGTCTTTGAGGAATCCTCTCACCTCACTTCTGCACAGTTGTGTGTGCCCTTCTCCATCCTGAGTGCTATGCTTGGAGTGAGAGGCAGATAAAGACTGAAGCTGTATTTGTATTTGAAGTATTTGTAGAAATCACGAGGTGTTTCTTCCCCTAAACCTAGAGATTAGGTGAAACCTTACATTTTTATCTGTTCCGATCTGTACATCAAACCTTTAAAATCTTTCCTCAAGGACAATGTAACTCAAGTGGACTCTCCCCTTCCCCTTCTAGGAAAGATGAATCTATGAGCATTTCAGTCCTACCCGCTTCTTCCTAAGAGTCACGGGCCAAGAAGGATGAAAATAGTAACAGTGGCATTAAGGAATAAAGGAAGTGTCAGCGTTATCATGTGGGACTCTCAAAGTGAACTGACACACTCTTTTCTAGATTGCTCGGGAATTTCTTTATCACATGAATTTCCCAGCATTAAAACAAATGGGTGGGGTTTGTTCAGGCAGCTTGGGTGCTGTGGACGGTTAATATAAGTCAGAGCTCAAACACATTCTTTCTTCTCTACCACGAAGCAATGCAAGAGCGTGCAAGCTGCAGCAACTTCCCCACAGAATCTTCTAGATGATTATAACCACACAGAATTGTCCTAAACAATAATAAATTCTCCTCAGATGAACTGTTTTCTATGACTCTGTTCTTAAGGTTTCGGATGAATAATGTCTGTTCACAGCGCACAACCGAGTCACTGTGAGACAGCAACCCTGTCATGAAGTGACGTCACTCTGCTGACAATGGCTTCATCCACAGTTAGCCGTTCTTGGAGCCTTTTGGAATCTAAACCTTCTTTCCGTTCTCACTCGGCTTTCAGTAAGTCTACTTCCCCAAGAGTCCAACAAAATTCTAAATAGCATACTAAAAAACACACAAAAAAAAAACAAGCAAAAGCCCTCTATGTGATTAGTTAAGACTTCAGTACTCAACCCCTGTCAATAAACACAACAATGAGCACTCTACAGTTGGAGCAAGTTCATCCATGACTTCATTTTTCTGGAAAGAGAATGAAGTCTATTGCTTCCACAACCTACAGAATGAATTACTGACTAGAAATCCGTCACTTATCGGAAACCCCCCACCACTAATCCTCCATGACAGGCAATATGACCTGTGACCATGTGACTTCAGAGTCAGGAGTCCAAACCTCAGGCTTTATAATCTGAGGATACAGTAACGGAATTGTTAACCCTCTTCAGTCCACCACTCGGTAATCTCTGGCTCATTCAATTTCCCAGAGAGACCTTGAATTTGGACCTTAGCACAAAGTACCTGCCAACTTCAAAGCCACTGAATTGCATAATTAGCTACACGGAAAACAAAGGAGCCTGCTCCAAATAAGCGAGTCGTTGAATTATTGTAGAAAAAACATAAGCAAGATTATGATACTTGGTCCAGGGGTAAATTCATTCATGGTAAGTCAGTTGTATTGTTTAAAGCTGGTTATTTAAAATAAAGGTCGTTGTAATAAAAACACATAGAATAAAATTTACCATTTTGACAATTTTAAGCTTAAAGGTGCTAAATATTCCCATATTTTTGTCCAACCAGTTTTCTGCACTGTCTAAGATCCTATGCTGGTTAAACAGTAGCTCTCCAAATCCTGCTCCCACAGTCCCTGGGGGACGACTTCATGTTTCTATGAATTTTACTATTCTAGGTAATCCATATACGTGAAGAGTGCATACAATATTCATCATTCCTCCGCTAATTTAACTTAGTATAGTATCCTCAAAGTACATTAATGCTGCGTCATGCATCAAAATCCCCCTTTAAAGGCTGCAACATTCCATCGTATGTATTGCCCACATTAATCTGATTTTTTAAACCCTAAATAGAAGACAATTTTTGGTTGATATGTTCCATTATGGGTATCACCCTGGTACATTTGTCTGTGTGCATGTGTGTGTGCGTGTGTGTGTGTGAGTGTGTGTGTAATTAACATGTAACTGATGTAGTTAATATGTAATTGTAACAGATAAAGAAATAAAAGGGAATAAATAGGAAATTCCTATCTCTTACATTTCCTTAAATACTGTTACTTTCTCTCTCTCTCTCTCTCACTCTTTCTTTCTGACAGGGTCTCTCTACTATCACTAGCTATCCTAGAACTCATTATGTAGACCAGGCTGGCCTCGAACTCACAGAGATCCACCTGCCTCTGCCTCCTGAGTGCCAGGGTTAAAGGCGTGCACCACCGCATCAAGTTCGATTTTTTTTATAAAGATATATTTTATGTTATATATACAGGTGTTTTGCCTGCATGTATATGTCTATGCATCACAAGTTTGCAGTGCCTTTGGAGGCCTCTGGCAACTGCCATGTGAGCTTTGGGATTTAAACCTGGGTCCGTAGGAGAGCAGCCAGTGCTTTTCCCCGCTGAGCCATCTTCGTGGCCTTTAAAGCTATCTTGTCCCTTTCAACTTATCTTTACAATGTTTACGTTAAGGTTTTGGGTCACTGGTTTAGCATCAGAAACCTAAACTGATTTGAAATAGTTTTTTTCCTCATAGAGAAAGCGTAATTATTTATACTGGAAGAAATACACAAGGTTATGATTATAGCTGGGATGGTAGGAAGACCTGGGTTGGAATTCTGTCCTAACACAAATAGAGTCTGGACGCTTCCACTGGCTTTCTGAAAAGCACTAGTATTTACCAGTGTTAACGTAAACATATCTTCCATATTAATCAAGCAATCACATTTTCTCTAAATCATTGGACTTATGTTTTTTAATGGCAACTAAATATGTAGTTCTCAATCAGTGGGACTGAAAATGTATATATAATGACATCTAAATGATAGTGTATATTCTACTCAGTTACATTTGCTATGAAGACTGGCTTTCCTTTACTATTATTTTATTCTATCATCTAGGTACCAATAAACTTCCCTTTGTTTTTCTCCTCCTAGACCTCCATTGTCTCTCAGAAGAACAAGCCTTTTGGGCTTAGGATAAACCATGGAACGAGTTCTAGATTAAGCTCCTTACCCTAGTGGTGTGGCTGGGACCCTCTTTAAGGTGACGTGGGCCCATGTGACGTCATTCCTTTGGATTTATGCTGAGGTCATTGCTATTTAGTAAAGTGCCTCATTCAATTCTAGTTAATCTCATTAGTTCAAACAAACAAACAAACATAGAAGATAGATATTTTAAAAATGAGAATGGCAAGAGAGAAAAAGACAAAACTCAAAAAAAAACCTACAAAAGTTACTGTATTTAAGAATTGCTGGGATATGTTTCAAACCTGTCTGACATCACCCGAGGACAGACACTGCAGAGCGATACTATAGGCCCTCTTTATTTAGCGTCAGAGTTTCCTGACATCACAATGTGCTTTTTGAGATTTGAATGAGTGCTCAAGCACTTTTACGAAAGTTTCACAACTCCCTTTGTGGTGTTTAGGGTCACCTAGATGTCTACATCAATAAATAAACAGATGACGCAGATCAAGATCAGTTTCTGCTACCTTTCACCCAGTTAAATAATACAATTTATTTTTTAAAAAGGGAGGGGTAGAGCAACAATTACCTGGCAAGGCCAAGTTCCCAGCATTATCTACAAACTTATCTGTCATTTCTCCAAAGACTATCATCATGAGGGGAAGACCTGATCCGTGAGCTATGGCCATGACGGTGCCCAGGAGCATAAACAATTTATCCTGCCAGTCAGAGTATCGGAACTGAAAAAAAAAAGAAACAAAATAAGATTCCATTTAATAATTTATGCTTTGGGAATTTTTATTTCGAGTTCTTTCTATTATCGCAGGTGCAAATGTGCTTATCAAAATCCAGATAATTATCATATTAGTTTCATGATTTATGTACATGTAAGGAAATCAATCTATTTCAACTTAATTAATGTTTAACTTGGGTGAATTATTACAATATAATCAAGGGAATAAAGAGTTGGATTCATTGAGAAATATTATTTAATCTCTCAGAGGTTGTGTGTAGTGAAATAAGGTGAGTTGAGGACAGACATTAAGTTCACAATAGTGGAGGCATAGAATATGATTTCAGCAGAATTGAAAATAGGAACAAACAGACCTTCTCAGTTTGAGGCCAGAACCCTTTGAAAGGGTAAAATTGGCCTGTAAAGGTAGTTCAGGAATGAACGGCTCATTGAAAGGTTATGGAGTATCTGTCTGTGGGTTTTAGGGGAGTCTAGCTCATGAAGAGTCTTGAAAGATGAGAGAGAAACAACTGGAAAAGAACAGGGACCATGGAGCAAGTCAGGATTGCAGGTTTGCAAAGAAAGGTGACTCACAACTACACAGAGCACAGCAGCACTCCTGGAGGCCACATTACAGGGAGGAGAGACCACTGGAACTTTGGGATTTGGTGTTACCTTTGGGCAGCAGGGTGGGTACCAATTATCACAGTGAAGTATGCAGTTCCTAATCACTGATTAAATACCACTTTGGACAACTGCAACTCTGCCTTTTTAATCTTCTCCAATTTACACCTTTTGCAAAATATGTTTGATTGACTCTTCTACGAATTTTTTTGTTCTTTCTCCTCTGTCTTCTAAACTACAGCCTTGTTGGAACATTTACGTTTTAGCTTGCTCTCAGTCTCTTGTATTATTCCTCTCCTTTTAAACTTTATACTCTGTCCATTTCCCCCAGATCTCCGTTTGGAGACGAGGAACAGTTATCTGAAAAGTACACAGTGATTCAGTGTGGTGAAGCAGCATCTTTGAGGGCGGAGGCTGAGTCACACTGGTCAATATTGAGTGGTGCTGAGTTTGGGAACACACAGTGGAGACTGAGCACGTGTGCAAACAGTTCTCAAAGAGTTTCAGTGTTCATCTGAGGCCAAGGGCAGCAGGGGCAGATTCCACCCTCAAACACACAGGGCAAGCGAGAGAACTAGCGGAAATGAAGGTTGAGAACCAGAAAGAGTTTAGAATAAAGCATGGGCAGTGACAAACATCTGGAGGAAATGTAAACAGGATCCTGACTACTACGAAAGGACCTGTGTCCTCAAGGTCTGCTGTTAGTGGTCTAAGTGAAGAGGTTAATCATGAGCATCTTCCAGCCTCCTTTCTGGGCACACAGTCAGACAGCCTGTGGTGCTTTTTAGTGCACATTGTATGACACTGAAGAGGGTTTTAATGTCTTTCATGTTAGTTGAATCAAATTTAAATTTCTAAGGTCAAATTTAACGTAAAGCAGCTTTCCTACGCAAATCTAGATTGGTCTTTTTCAACAAAACAAGGCATTTTTAATTCTACTATACCAGTTTTGTTCTGGTTTTTCCTTCCAAAATGTCTACTCAGACACAGGATAATGATTAAACTTAAATTCAGTTTAAACTAAAATTAGTAAAGGCAAACGAAATGTCCATCGCTCTGCTTTGCATCAGGTATGTTTCTTTTTTCTATAGGAAACATGTTCTAAACTGAAATTAAAATGTTTCACACTGTATTCCCCATGGCACTAAATAAAATTCTTTTTTTCTAGGCTGGTGAGACGGCTAAGTGGGTAAAAGTACTTCTCCATCAAGACTGGCAGCATGAGTTTGATCCCTGAAACCAACAGGCTTGGGAGAAGAGAACCTGTTCCCCAAAACTGTCCCTTGACTTTCACACATGTGCTGTGGCAGAGACAGCTGCACTGGACACACATCAGGCAAACACCGTAGTGGGATCTTGGGCCATTGTCCATTACAAGTCAATATGGCATAAGCACACACACGATAAAACGTAAATAAAAGTGTACTCACAGTGAAACGTTTAAAACAAAGACACAGCGTAGTGGGGGAAGAGTGTGAGCGGAGTAGGGGCCGCTGAGTGGCAGGAGAATGTATTGATGCTTTTCATCCATCTGCTTTCTAACTTGGCTTCAACTGGCACGCACTTAATCCCTTAATCCCCCCCCCCCCTCTCTCTCTCTCTCTCTCTCTCTCTGTCAAAGACTGTCTGTTTGGAACATATCACATTTACCCAAGGCAGGTAAACACTTTTCTGCCTTGACTCTCTGAGACACATTACAAATGAAAACAGATTCAATTTCTTCCAAATACATGTTGCCTTACCTTATACCCTCGGGAAATACTAGAAATGGCCTGAAGCAGAACCAGAATCCATAATCATTATGATAAATTTAGCTAATTTTTTTTTTTGGAGCAAGATGTTTCGTGAAGTCAATGAGCTTCCAGGGTGTTTCAAAAATGTTTCATTTTGTTCTGTCTCCCTATGTAGCAGTGAGCGCACAGCCAGCTTGCCCCCCTGTCTTCATCTGTCTTGTGATTCGAGGCCACTGTTTACAATAAGCCAGCCTTATAGCACGGGTGCAGCAGGAACAGTCCAGGGCTGCACAAGACAGACAGACTTAAAGGACTCGCTCGCTGGCTATTGACTCAAGCTCCTAAACCTGAAGGAAAGGCAGGATTATTCCCATTTAGTATTTCACAGCTTACCAGTGTCAATGGTCCGATTAAGTTCACTTTCTTCTTTTTATTTCTGCCTTGGTTGCTGTAAAAATATAATCGTTCGAATTTAAAACTGTTATTAACAACCAGTTGAACATAATATTAGTAGCTATGGTTTTGAATCAGAACATTTTTAAATACAAAAAGACTACCATTGCCAGGAGTATCCAGCTGCACAAATAACGGCAGCAAGGCAGCCGTCAAGTAACTGTCCAAGGTACCACAAGGACGTGGATAAATAATAAAAAAAGAGAGAAGATGAACATCTTAATAATGCTTACCAAACCATTTAAATCATTCTGTTCCTAAAGTACAAATTGACCTATAGGGAGAGAACTCTTCTGAGTGATGGAAGTAGTTTCAGGAAATACTGTTTTTCTGCATTCAAGATGCATCTAAGATCCAAACACGTCTCTCCTGTTAGGCTGGCATCCTGTGTAACCTCCCCACTTCACTTCTGTTTATGTTTGGTCCAGGGTTTTGGCAACCTGTAGCCAACATAATCATTTAAAACCCGAGCTACTTCTCTAGTCAGGAAAGAACAATTGCTGCACTTTTTCTCAGTGAAATCCAAACCTTCCTACTGGTCACTGAGTCCACCGGTTCTGTGAGTCCTGGTGAATACAACTCCCACTCCCTGCCTTACTTAGGCTGCTCAGAGAGGCAGCCTAGCTTCTCTGCTTGTTGTACCTAGCTCTGTTTTCTGGGTACCACAATCACAGCCCCAGTCGCAGGGTCTTTTTTCTCTAAAGTATTGCTGTCAGGAAGATGCTCCCCAAATACCCACGACTCCCTCTGCTCATATCCTTCCACTCTCTTTGCAATAATTGCTTCAAAATAAGACCTACCGTAACCACCCTACTTAAAACTGACGAGTACTTCTGCTGTGTTCTCCTGACTTCATTCATTTTTCTTCATGCTTGGCACCTATATGTATGAAAGAATGTGCCACAGACTATGTGCGCACCATCTTTGAAAGAAGCACATATACAATTTGCCCTACACAGCAGAAAGTGGGCTTAGCTTCCCTTGAGTGTATAATCCTTGGTATGACTAAGATTCAGTCTCATATTTAATCTTACCATCTTATAATATCAAGCTATTCTTAACTTTTGTATTTCAGTTTGAGCTGTTTCCCTCTTTCCACCCCAGGCTGTGAACTTCTCCCGAGAACTTCCCTGCTCCGTCGCCAGGGTTACTGCCCCGTTTGCAGGAGCTGCCCCTTCTTTTACTAGTCAGTGTGCTCGGCAAGTGTAACACATAAATAGCCTTCTTCATGAAAATGCCAGCTATTAATAGATTCACAGTCATCCCCAAGCTAAGTTGTCAGACAAGAAAACCACATTTTTTTTCTATTAGAAGTAACACCACCCGTAGGATTTTGTAACTCTATATGGACAAACCTAAATTTTCTGTGAATGAATGCCACGATTCTGAGAATGAACAACAGGTCAATGTCACTGTCCAAACACATTAACAGAGGGGAGTAACACTTCGGTTTGAGCATCAGATAGGCATACTTTCAGTTGGCTAATCAGATGCCTCGCAGCTGGAAGACCAACTACAGAACCTGATAAATTTGTCCCTCTAGCTGACAACCCCATGACACATATCACTTAGTTCCGGGTGGCCTAGCTTGAACTCAGAGACTGGAATAGCCTCATAAACTGTTTGAAGCTAAGGGCGAAAATGATTCACTATTCCCACAATGAAAGCGGAAACGCACACACACTTGACCGGGCTCTTCTGCCTCACAAAAGGCTGTATGCGTGCTGCATTGTGGGCTGGAGGAGGACCGAACAGAGAGGGAGGAAGAAAGGCTCATCGCAGAGGAAGCATTGCGGTTTCCCTTCTTGCACTTGGACAAAAACTGATTTGGAAGCAGAAGTTAGGGAAGAATGAGGTTGCTCTTCATCACACACACACACACACACACACACACACACACACACACACGCCACCCCCAGAGAGGGAACATGGGGAACACAGTCTACACACGGGAGTAGGGGAAGACCTGGGATATAGAAGAGAAATGAGAGCGGGGGTCCTGCTTCACTACCCTAGTTCAAGAAGCAAAGACATCAACAGCAGGTGTCTGAGGCTCAACTAGCTGTAGCCAGATGATGGTTAAAGAGAGTTATCTTCAAATGTTTACTTTATAAAAATACAACGATACAACATCATCGAATCACCCGTGCCCCAAGGAGGGGAGTTCTTTTGAAGACAACCCATTCCAAACGGAGACCGGACAACATTCAAGACCACTTAAAATTTCTTCCCAAAGGTATGAGGCATCAACCGATTTTCTCAACTTCTTTCCAGGACTCAGGTATAAAGGCAAAGCCTGTGGCTTTGTGGCCCTGTATACCTGATGCTGCCTAGTTCAAAGTCGCCCTCCACTGTCCCGGGGTGCCGCGCTGTTCCGTTCCTTGCTGCCTCAAGATCCATCTCAGCCTGGAGAGAAACCACAGCCTCAGGTCCAAGTGCACCCAGCCCAGCCCCGGGGAGAGGGGACCTCGGGCCAAAGGCTCAGAGCGGAGCGCACGGATGGGAGCCCTTCCCGGGCTGGTCCCGCTGCAGCCGCCCTCCCGCCACCCCGGGTCACCCGGCGCGGCCTCCCTTCACCTGGCCTTCGCGCGCGTGTCTGCCGCAGCGGGGTGCCGTGCAGACCTGGACTTTGCTCGTCGTGGCTCGTCCCCGCCTCCCACACGCGTCCGGAGCCAGCGACGCCCGCCTCCCGCTGCAGCGGGGGCGAGGGCCCGGGCCCGCAGGAGAGTCCCCGCAAGCCCGCTGCCTCTGCAGGCCCCAGCGCCACCAACGCGTCGCCCTCGCCGCCAGGGGCGCGCGCTGCCGCCCACCCGGGCGAGCTGCCAGCCACCCACAGCTCAGCACAAGCTGCAGCCCCGATAAGCCCACCGATATGCTTGCCTGGCAGGCCGCCGGCCCCTAAAAAGTGACTGTCACTCTTTCCCAGAGCTGACTTTTCTTTTAGAACACTTTAGGGAGGCAGTGTCTTCGGGCTCAGCAACCAGACCCAGGGAGAGCAGCAAGGCCGTCACTTCTGCAACCTCAGCTTTAGTCCATGGCACCAAACCCAAACAACATTCCGGATGCTGACGATTATGAAGGTCCGGCCCAGAATCATCACCAGACGCCTGTTGAAGAAGAGGGACACTGCTGGTGTCCCCCACAGGGGAGGGGCACGTCGCGACCCAGAACTTGAGTGATGAAAAGGATTTTGAATGGTTCCACGATTAGAAGCACATTCTTTTAGTTTTTGTTTTCACACGTGAAGAAATCGGTGCTCAGAGCAGCTAAATGCCCCCTAACGCTATATCTATAGGACTGGCACCCAAGCCAAGCCTATTGTCTGCTGTTGCCCTGGCTCTCGGCTCTTATCACAGACTTCCCTCAATGCTAAGTTGCCTCTATTCTTAGTGCCTATGTGGAGATGGTTTCCCTGTGAGTTCTCCTTACTTTCTCCCCTCTACCCAAAATGAAGGCGCTAAATCAGTTGACAAAACATCGCCACTTTCCATGCTTCAAGCAAGTGAGTTTCACACTCAAGAGCTTCATAACTTACTGTGGCTTGCGGACAATGCTTCTTTCTCTAGGCTTCAGTTTCTTAAGGGTCTGTCTCGCCTACTAGGTTATTGTCAAAGCACCTATTTTGTTTATAAAACATAGAACCTGTTAAATAAGGGGCTTGCTTTTCTCCTCGTCCAGTAGCTGGTTCATCCACTGAGCTTTGGTCTCCTGTGTGGTTATTAGCACACTAGCGTCTCACTGCTTTCCCAGATCTCCAGACAACCTTAAAGGAGTGCAGAGTGTAGGCGCTGTCACACAGAACCTGCAGGAATCTCCACTCTGCCCTTTACTGCTGTCTGGGTGGCTTATCTGCCAAGTCTCAAAATCCATTAAAATAGGGGTGTTAGTAAGACTGAAGACAACGTGTGTACAATGTCCCTCACACAGGGCCACTTAATAAACGGCAGCTGCTAGTTTGGTTAAAAGTGCAGAAGAGACAGACAAAGGTAGGGTAGAGGAGGAGCAGGCAGTCCAGATGCTCACACTTGAGTGTGCTGTGTATCTCTGCCTGCCTCTTCACAAGGAAAATGGCTCAAGTCGCATGTGGGGAGTTGATTGCAACTATGATGGACATGAATGTAGACACATGTTGGGGCTCAATTCCCAGCCTACCCCAACCATGAGGTCTCCTTGATGGGGGTTCTGCCCTTCGCAGGCCTAGCAGGTGTTCAAATTATCATTTTAAGATATTCTGAGGCTAAAGCAATTAGAATTGTTAAATTCAGACAAGGGGGAATTTTGGGTAATTGGGGGACATTACAAAATTCAGTAGGATCTAAGGGATAATATACACTTGTCAATCTCCAATGTAAGAAAGTTAGAGTAAAACAGAATGTTTGAAGGAACAAAAGGAGTCTGAATTAAAACATAAATAAACCAAATCTGGACATGAGGGGGAATGAGGTGCATTGCTCTGTCTGTCTGTCTGTCTATCTGAGTCAACCCATAGGTTGTCCTTGTACGAGTTACTCTGTTCTCTGCGTGAAGACAGACGTTAGCAGGTGGGTCACAGAATATCTACAGGGAATGAGTAGATATATCCTATAGCTATGCTTACATATCTGCCAAAAATGAAAATCTGAACCATTCAAAATCCCAGTGGCTCAATTATAGAAAAAATTTAGAGATTATTTGAGATATACTATTGATGTGGGATTCCCCTCTGTGTACTTTGTAAACCTTTGGTTAATAAAGGTACTGGCTTGGCCTATCTCAAGGTAGAACTTACTTAGGCGGGGAAAGCTAGGCCGAATGCTGGGAGAAAAAAGAAGGGGTCAGAGAGAAGCCATGGAGCCCTGCCAGATGCCGGAACTTTACCTGGTAAGCCACAGCCACGTGGTGATACACAGATTAATAGAAATGGGTTAAATTAATTTGTAAGAGTTAGCCAATAAGAAGCTAGAGCTAATGGGCCAAGCAGTGATTTAAATAATAAAGTCTCTGTGTGATTATTTCGGGTCTGAACTCTGGGCAGCCGGGAACCAACAAGTGGCCCCCCACTACATACTTATTTAAATTAAATGGGAATTTGTTTGAAAACATCTAAAACACTACAGATTCATAGGATACTTCCCATAAGAATCTAGCAATGATAAAATTTCTACATGCTTACATAAAGTAATGTAACAATTACATGGGTGTAGTAGTTATGAGAAGGAAACCGTCATAAGGAAATAGCTCAACACTCTTGAGAGTGTGGATGAGTGCAGTCACTTTGGAAATCAGTCTAGCGGTTTCTTGAATGAGAAGGAATAGAACTTCCACATGAGGCTGCTACACCACTTCTGCATGTATGCACAGCAGACTTTACATCCTAGTTCTGAGACCTTGGCACAGCCATGGTCATTGCTGCTTTATTCACAACAGCTGGGAAATGGAAGCAAGCACAATATCTGATTTAGTTAGGTTTCTCTTGCTGTGATAAAGCATCATGACCGAAAGCGACCTGGGGAGAAAAGGGCTGATTGCATCTTATGACTTGTAGAGCATTACCCAAGGGGCTTGAGGAAGGAACTGATGCAGGCCATGGAGGAGAGCTGCTTACTGGCTTGCTCATGGCTTCTTTAGTCTGACATTTTTAAAAAATTAATTTATTTAAAAAAACACTATCTTTTCCCATATTACATACCAATCCCAGTTCCCACTCCCTCACCCTCCCTCCATTTCTTACACACCCCAGGACCACCTGCTCAGGGGTGACACCACATACAATGGATTGGGCCCTCCCCATCAATCAGTAATCGAATAAACGCCCTACAGACTTGTCTGCAGGCAAACATTTCTCACTTGAGAGTTCTCTTTCCCAGATGACTCTAGTTTGTGTCAAGCTGACAAGAAGCCAACTAGGATAATGTTCATCTGGAGATGAACGGATAAGAAAACCACGGTACATATACCCAAGGGAATAGGTAAACGGATAGAACTAGAAAAAATTATACTAAGGTAACTTAAAACCCAGAAAGATAAATATGACACATTCTTTCTCACACATAGATTCTAGCTTCAGATTGTTGGTTTTGTGTTTTTAACCACGAGCTTAATTGTGAGTGTAAAAAGGGATCTTTGGGGTCATAGTAAGGGAAGTGGAATACTGGGAGCCAAAATACTTGAGCAAGGAAGGTGATGGGCGTTGGGGGGAAAAGGTGAGGATTACCTCAAAGGAAGGGAGCATGAGAAGCCACACAGAAACCATAGAGTGAATTGCTAACCAAAACCAAGGGTCTATAAAGTAGTCTTATAGAAACTCATTAGTTTAGTGGTTTCAATTACAGCTTTTAAAACGTGCTCAAGCAGTATCACCCTGCATGGGTTGATAACGCCACTGCTAGAAAACGGGTTATTAGATGAAAATTACAGAATAAGCAAGGGATACCTCCCTAAGAGTTACTAGTCAGGGAGATTGCAGAGGTCTCTAAAACAATATAACTTTCATCCTTGATTGTCCTTGGTCATCCACCGTAACTATATTGTAAGACCCTGTTACTGAAGGCACCACACACTTTTCAGGAAATAGAGAAATCACTCCCTCCCTGCTGGCAGTTTTCACAGCATCCAAAGGGGCTATGCAGACTGTGAGGAGAGAAAAGACACAGATGGTCTTAGCTAGCCCTGAACACTGCATGCTACAGTACAGACTCAATGGGAAGGATTGCCCACTGGTGCAGTAATGGCACAGCAGTTTCGGGGAACTGCTTTCTGGTAGGATTTAAGACCTGTTTGTTCTACAGGAGGGAATTTCATGGCTGAGCCCATTTATTCTGCTCAAAAACCCTTGGCTGGGGAGATCATAGATTCTAGGGTAGGGTAGAACTCAATATTACTTTTTCCTAAATGGGAGTCAAGCTGTTAAATTGCCTTCTGAAGATTTATGCTTATACTCATAAACCTTGGCTGCTCACTACCTCGGTCAGAGAAGCTTATTTTTGCAATGAATAGCTGTCAATGAATTGATGCATATTTAGTCGAAGTGCTGACATAAGAAACTGACTGTTAAATAGGCTATCTATATTAACACTGCACCCCACAAGGCTCAAGGCTATCACAGAAGAGGAGGCAGAAAGAATGTTAGAGCCAAAAGATGGGGAGGAGGGCTGTGAAACGCTGTCTTGTGGACGGGGCGTGGCCATCACAATCACAGCTATGAGTTGCCTGCACAAGATGTAGACAAAACCTAGCCATCCCAAATTTCCAATTTAGAAGGAGCAGATGACCTCAGGCCCCACCCCTTTCTGAGCTGCTACTGAAGTGGATGGTTGTCGGGCTGGGAGATGACCATTGTTTTTGAAGTTGTGGTCACTAGTAGGTTTCACATGTCAGGGGATGGTCTCAGATTCATGCACGTATGGAGAACATTAACTGGACTTAGTGGGATATATTATTAGACCTGGAGCTGGGAGAGTGCTTGGGGGTGTATGGAGGAAGGTGGAGGGGGAAATGGGAGTAGATGTGAACATATTTAATTGTATACATGCATACGGGCTTCTCAAAGGGACAATAAAAAAAAAACCAGTCAAGAAATGAATAGTATAGACACGCACACTGTGGTTGGCTCTACTATA